AGTCAAATGCTACAATTTGATGCAGACATATTGTTAGTAAAAAGAAAGAACAAAAGAAACACATTCCATTTAAATCAGTACGTTAATCAGATACTAATCTAGTCATTTTCTGCCTTGCTTAATTATGTCAACCTTCTAACAGCTAGAATGATATGGAAGATTCTGTTCATGATTCAATGCTATATATGTAATTATGTACAGTAGTTTTCTACTTTTCTATACATTTCTGGAAGAAAAACATAACTGCGTTAGTTTGGTGCCAATAATTAAACATGCATACGTATTTAGTATTTACAAGATTGAATTTGATACATGGTTGATTTGAATTAATGCAGGGTACTTAATACCAAAAGGGTGGAAAGTATTACCATTATTTCGAAACATTCATCATAACCCGGCGTTTTTTCAAGATCCAGAAAGGTTTGATGTTTCGAGATTTGAGGTATGTTATTTTTCGTATAAAAAAAAAAAAAAAAAAAACTTTCTTGCAATAATTCAAAATCGTCATAAATCAATTGCTTAGATTAATTCAAGTACGTACTACGGAGTAATAATGAATAATATGTTGGTGCCGTATAAGTGCAGGCAGCTACAATGAATAATAAGCCCCACACATTTATGCCGTTTGGTTATGGCGCCCATGCATGTCCAGGAAATGAGGTCGCCAAGTTATTGATGTTCGTTTTTATCCATCATCTCGTCACCCAATTCAGGTATATATATTTACATGTACTCTCTTTAGTGATATGTAGTACATCATGCATGCATCTTAAATACATACGTAGCATGAAGAGAATATTATACACTTTTTTTTTTTTTTTTTTTTTTTGAGGGAATACGTACATAGTGTACGATACAGCATCTATAAGCATTTTCTTCTTATTTTGGTGATTTTATTTTATTTTATTTTATTTATTTATCTATTCATCAAATGAAGAGTTAAAAAAAAAATTTACCAATCCAAACCACGATTTATTTTTCTTGGCTCATATAGTCATTCCTGCATATGAGAAGGATGGTAGTAGATTAGTAGTAGAGTAGATATTATTACAAATTTACAATCAACATCACACACTTTATCTTCAAGCATTTATTCTCATGTGAAGGCAGCAATTCCTCAAAATACAAGCTTAATTGATAAAATGATAGTCACATCCCCACTTTATAATAATTTTATGAGGTCGTATTTTTATGTTGCATGGATGCATGCGTTTGAAGGTAAACAAAAACAAAAATAAAAAATTTGCAATTTTAAATTTGTGGTGAAAATAACTTGATAGTAACTTCATTTTTATCTGTTATTTTTTTTTAACTCAATGTATTTATTTATTTAATTTTGTGGTGAATAAATAACAGAACCAACTGATCACATAATTAGCTTAGCAAATTGCCAAATTACGCAAACATGCATACATCAATTTGTAATTTAGACAATTGAAAGTGATATAAAGTTTGTAATTTATTAGCTCTCAAAAAAAAAAAAAAGTTTGTAATTTATTAAAATGACAAAAAAAATTATATTTTCTTTTTTATTGGCAGGTGGGAAGTGGTGGGACCCCAGGGTGGTGTTGAATATGGCCCATTTCCAATACCGGAACAAGGACTCCCAACTAAGTTCTGGAAATTATCGCAATCAAACTCAACACAATAGCACACATGAATAGCAGTAATAGTAAACAAAATGGTCCTAGATTTTCATAGCAATAGCAAATTAGCAATATAGCATAGTGTATGTTACAATAATGCTAGCTGACTTGGCAGATGATAGGTACGCCAAGTCAGCTAATTAATTAAGCTCTCCAATAATACGAGTTTAATTTGGCATGATTAAACAAGCCAACTTTAATTAGTAGTTCTAAAATAGTTTGATTGGTTTTTTATCTTTAAATATTTTTAAAATTTATTTTAATGCAATTGTAATAATATAAATAGTGCAAAAATCTCAAAGAGATGAAGATTTTTTCTTATGGAGTTTTTGATTTGGTCCCAGCCTTTGATTAAATTATGTAATTTTACCATAACATGTTGTAAATATACATGTACTATAAATTATGAATAGAGCTTTATTATTGATTGAAAGCCATTTCTCACTAAAATAGTCATCATATATAGTGGTTGTTAATTTATCTATATAGATTGACACTTATAATAAATGTCAAACGTCTGGTATACTTAACACTTTTCACTTGCAAACCGATATAATATAAATATTATTATGACTAGATAGCAAATACAATTAGAAAACAACTTACATCTAATGCATGCACACATTCAATTTACATTTATGGAATTGAATTAACAACTAATTGCTAAATCACAAATTTAACATGATTTAGTTGCTTGGCTTGAACTATTATCAAGTATGTTTAATTTATGTTACAAAAGCATGCTACCAATTAATACTTTTTTCACCCATTATGGACTTTTATGATCGATCTCTAATTCCTCAGCTAAAAATTTCAACAATCCCTACATCTTTAGAAAATGTGAGGCAGCCAACATGTTAATTAACAATGGTTAAATTTTCTAAAAGTACTGCTTAAGAGTGACTAAGAGTTTTTAAGACGATAAAATGAGATCAAGGAAATAAAGTGATAAAATAATGGTTTTGAATATGCATACTAAGATGAAAAGTCATACATTGTTCAGCTAACATTTGACTTATTCTATCTTTTCAAATTGAAGATGTGAAGGAGAGGAAACAAAATTGATGCTACGTAATATGTATTATGCATGCATATATAGCCGACCATTAGTATATGCTAGATTTAAATGTTTTTAGATTAGACATTAACATTCACAATTCAAGGTCAGAAGTTTGCATCCATCCAAAAAAAGGAAAAAATTAACTAATGAAACTATTTGTCTCTTTTGCCGGATTTTTTTGTCCAACTTGAAACCTATCATTATAATTAGTCTGAATCCAAAGAATTGAATCAATGGTCAAATTTAGTTAAAGTTCCTTTGTAATTAAAATGAGGGGTAAACTGTATAAGGTAAGAATAGCTTAATATAGTACGGAGTAATATGTAATTATATTTATGTCAATTGGAAATTTATACACGTGCAATTGTTACACCACCCCATAGATTGAAATACGTAGTACCAATATACACCGTACAATTGATTGAATTGTATTGTTTACTGGTTAGATACAAGATAGTGCTTATTATCTCTTGGCTCAAAAGGATGTTAACTACCACTTCCTCTGTTATTTTTTACTTGACCTGTTTATTTTATCACGCTTGCCAATGCAAAATTTTAATAGTCAATAACTTTAATTCTCCATAATTAAAAAAATTAAAAGTTATATATTATGATAGTACTTATTGAGACGAATTCAAAATGATCCAACATAAATACGTTTTTCCTTACATATTATTTACAAAACACGGTCAAAGGAAGGGTGGTGAATAGTGTAAAAGTCAAAGCGGGTCAAGTAAAAAAGAACTGAGAAATTATATCTATATGTATATAAGGTGGTACAGTGGCCTAACTTGATGGTCAATTGAATATTCTAGTTTAGTATTGTTATTAGAGTACTCCTTATCTCACTAATAACTTCTTATAATTGTAACACTTTAACTTTTATATTGTTATCGGATATTATTAATGCTTGCAAACTATGATAGTTAAGTTGGTATCATTATATTAAACAAATGAAGTTGTAAGAATATATAATTTCCCTACTTATTCGTGCATTTGGCGCTTGCAAGGCCACAAAACATGGGATGTATCTAGCAACACAACTAGATTGGATCAACAGAAAGTAGTATACTTGACTACTATTGACATACTCCGAATGAAAATTTGACAACAAAACAATTAGGTCGTCAATCGTCATCTGATCTCCAATGAAGGGATCAACTGTGGTCTTAATAGAAGAACCAATTCAGCTTGTTGAAATTGGAGACCACTATTGTAAGGACGTTGACATTTTGACTACATTCTTCCATCTTTTGAATTTTTATTAGTAACAAATTAACACTGTTTTGACTTTAATTTCTATTAAAAATAAATTTGGGCTTTAATTGTCTATAAGTCAAATTTTAAGCAGAAAGAAGTAATCATTGTGAAAATTTACATTAAGACTAATTCAACAATATTTTCCATACAATATTTTATTTTATTTAATTATGTTTTACTTTAAATTGGTTAAAGTTTACTTATAATACATGGACAAAATGGTGTAACAAAATTGAAATATTCAAAATGTTACAATACAAAATGTTTAATTATGAAAAAGTGTAAAAAACGCATAGTAAGCTACTAAGCTTGCATATTTTAGTGCATTATTTTTATTTACTAGCCAAAATATATAATCATACCACCCATACCATAATTTTTGTCCCTCACACATTTTATGTACTAATCAATATGTTAATGATCTGTCCTCTTCCACCTTCTTGTCCATCTCTCTCCACCATCTTTCCCCTCCTCCCTCTGGCTCCTCATATTTGCCACAATTAGGACCTGTTCCGATTGACTGAACTCAGCTGAACTGAACTGAACTGAACAAAACTGAACAAAACTTATTAATTAGTGATTTTTAACTACGGATTAGTGATCTTTGATTATTTATTGATTATTTATTACTATACATATGTGTATATACAAATGTACATATTAAAATATTTACGAAAAATATACTATATAATTATAATTATAAAATGTATGGAAAATATATTATAAAATGTATGGAAAATATATTAAAAACTTGAAACCTCTAAACATTTTAAACACATATACTATTTATTATTATTATTATTTATTGATGATTATTATTATTAGTATTATTATTTCAATTATTTTTATTATTATTATTATTATTATTATTATTATTATTATTATTATTATTGTTTTTGTTGTTGTTGTCGTTGTAATAAGAGCTTAAAAGAATGAAATTTGGCTTTATATCATTAGCAATATCATTAGACATAAACTAAGAGTTGAGCTGAACTGAACTGAACTGAACTGAACTGAGCTGAACTGAACTGAACTGAATTTCAACGGAACAGAACAGGCCCCTTAGAACCGTCTAATAAACAACTAACTTCTATTCAAAAAAAATAAACAACTACTATTACACCTTTCATATAAGATTACATTCGCTAATTTAACCCTAGATCGTGAAAGATACTTTTGCGTAATAATTTTCAAAACCAATCTGATTTGTACAATTAAAGTATTAAACTATACTTTAAATCAATCAAAAGGCCCACCAAAGCCCTCCACATACCATCAAATAGAAATAGAAATAAGCCCATTTCAGTCTTTCAAATTGGTCATTGCTATTTCAAATTCCGATATCGGACAATTTCACTCTTTCAAATTCGCCATTGAAAATTAAATAATGCTTAATATATTGTGATCGTTTCCGGTCAAAAAAAAGAAAAAAAAAAAAAAGCCATTGAACTAAGCTGACAATCTATTAATAAAAAAAAATGAAAAATAAAAAAACTAACTGAGAATTTAAGGGAGCAGCTCGTGTAAGAATGTAAGATGATGAAGCTGACATGGTTTTGAAAGCTCTAATCCACTTTCTTCCTTTCTCCAACTTATTTCCTGTCAATTGCAGAAATTTTGCAACTTTATCTTCTTCCCAATGCTATGCTCGATCAAAAATTAAACTCACCAATAAAATTACGGACTTAAAACCACTCAAATCACTTCTAATTGTCACTGGATTAAGTCATTATAAACTCGTTATTTCTGAGTTTATTGATCGATGCTTTCATCTGGGTACCCCTGAACTTGGGTTGTCTGCATTTTATGCATCAGATAATCGCAGCTTACTTTTGCAGAATTTGATTGTTAAGCATCTTTGTAGATTGGGTTTATATCAAGATGTAATTTCTGTGTATAAAACATGTAAGTTTTTTGGTACTAAAGATGGTGATTACACATTTCCTTATGTAATTAAGGCTTGTTCTGTTCTAAGTTATGAAAAATTTGGAAAGGAGATTCATGGTATTGTTATTAGAACTGGGTATGATAGGAATGTGGTTGTTCAGACTGCTTTTGTTGATTTTTACTCGAAAATTGGGTGTATGGACAATGCACGGTTGGTGTTCGACAAAATGTCCCAATGGGATGTGGTTTCTTGGAATGCTTTGATTTCAGGCTATTCTTTTAATGGCCTTGATTATGAAGCACTTAAGGTAGTGCAAGACTTGTGGGTGAAGGGTGTGAAGCCTAATGTGATAACTTTGGCTAGCATAGTTCCTGTTTGTACCCGTTTAGGATTCCGGTATTCGGGTTGGTCACTACATGGTTATGCTGTAAAATGTGGGTTTGATCAAGATGAGTTGTTGACACCAGCTTTGATCTCAATGTATGCTAATGAAGGCCATATTCGAGTTGCTAGATGCTTGTTTGATCTTTCTCCTATAAAAAATGTGGTCATTTGGAATTCTATGATATATGCTCATGCACAAAACCAAATGCCTGAAGCAGCCTTTAAAATGTTGCAGCAAATGCTCTCTGCTGATCTTCATCCTAATGTAGCCACTTTTGTGTCTGTGATCCCATGCTGTGAAAAGGCAAATCTTTACGACCATGGCGAAATCCTTCATGGGTATGCTGTTAAACAAGGGATGCATAACCAGATATCTGTGGCAACAGCTCTTATATCTATGTATGAGAAGCTAGGAGATGTTCACTCAGCAGCAAATGTATTCACTTGGATGCCTCACAAAAACCTTCTTGTTTGGAATTCAATCATTTCAGCGTATGTACATCATGGGCTCTCACAAACGAGCCTAAATGCTGTCCATGAGATGCAAGTTGCAGGAATTGAGGCAGACTCAATATCCATTGTCAATATTCTTTCGGCCTGCTCGGTGCTAGAGGCATTGCTTCTTGGTAAGTCTGCTCATGCTGTATCTATAAGAAAGGGTTTTGATTCAAATCATAATGTGTTGAATGTTCTCTTGAAATTTTATTCTAGCTGCTGTCAACTCCACTCTTCTTTTAAGCTTTTTGATTTGATGGCCTCAAAGAATACTATTTCGTGGAACACGATGATATCTGGTTGTACACATAATGGAGAAACAGAAAAGGCTGAAGCCTTATTTGTAATAATGCAGCTTCAAGGAGTGCAACCGGATGTTGTTAGCCTTATTAGTATCCTTTCTAGTCTGACTGAGAGTGGTAATTTGGCACGAGGGATGGCTCTACATGGATTTGCTCTCAAGTCATGCTTCACTTTCGATGTTACATTAGCTAATGCTTTGATTAGCATGTATTCTAGCTGCGGGGACCTGGATGCTGCTGCAATGGTTTTCCATTCAATGACAGACAGATGTTTGGTTTCTTGGAATTCATTGATCACTAGTTACCGACATCACAATTTACACAAAGAGGTCATAATCTTGTTCAAGAATATGATAAAAGATGGTCAAAATCCAAATTACATTACATTGCTAAATGTATTGCCCGGGTGCTCTACACTTTTACAAGGCAAATCAGTTCACTCTTACGCCATCACAACAGGGGCTATGCTGCAAGCTCCTTTTGTGACATCTTTGATCTGTATGTATGCAAGCTTTAACAATATAGTTTCGTGCTTCTTACTGTTTGAGGCTGGGGATAAATTGGATATTTCTTTGTGGAATGTGATGTTGTCGGTCTTGTTTGAATCAAGAGAGGTAGAGAAAGCATATTCTCTTTTTTGTGAATTGCTGCAAACAGAGGTTAAAGTGGACTATATAACCATTCTAAGCTTGGTTTCGGCTTGTATACAGATAAACAGCAGCTCTGTCGCTAATTCTATATTGGCATCTGCGATTAAGAATGGTTTTCTCCGAGAGACAATAGTTAGTAATGCTTTTATTGATTTGTATGCAAAATGTGGAGATATTCTGATGGCTAAGAAAGTATTTGAGGTTTTACCAGAAAAGGACATTGTCTCTTGGAGTGTCATGATAAACGGGCATGGATTACATGGGGATGGTGAAGGTGCAATTTCTCTTTTGTCGGAAATGGAAGGTTCAGGCATAAAGCCTGATAGCGTTACATATCTTAGTATCCTATCAGCCTGCAGCCATGCTGGGTTAGCTGATCAAAGCTATGCAATATTCAACTTAATGCTAAAAAATGGGATTCAACCAACAATTGAGCATTGTGGTTGTGTAGTGGACCTTCTTGGTAGAAAAGGTTTGCTAATTGAGGCATATGACATTGTTAAGAGAATGCCTGGTGGAGCTTCAGTCAGTATACTCGAGTCTTTACTAGGTGCTTGCATGGTTCATGGAAATCTTGAAATTGGGGAAAGAACTGGGGAGTTGCTTATTAATAACCGTGAAAATGTTGGAGCATACGTGATACTTCATAACATCTATGCAGGTGCTGGAAGATGGCAAGACGCAAACAGAATGAGGAGTATTATATCTGATAGAGAATTGAGCAAAATTTCTGGGTTTAGCATGCTTGAAGGACAGAAACTATGATGCCACTGAGGTTATTATTTGGAATCAGGATAGTGAAGGGTCCATGATTTCGAAACTAAACATTACAATGTTGGAAGTATTTGGAAACGGGGGCTGCCCAGTTAATCTTCATGATTAACAAACTTTGTCAATCTTTTATGCCATGTCAGAAGTTAGAGTATGTGGATGTCGACTCAGCAGCCGAGTCAGAAGTAGAACGATACACATTAGCATATTATTTGTAAATGGTGGCGCTCGCTGCTGTTAGTCTGTTACTTATAGGGGTTGTTCTTGATTGACGGTGGAAGATGAATTCATGGTTGCATTTAATGTTGGTAGGTAATGGTTTACTACTTTGCTGTTTTCCAAGTGATGTAATAATTGTCTTCTTGCTCCATTCCCGTAGAATTTGACTATCAAAATTGAAATAAACTTTTTAATCTAAAACACCAAAAGTCAAAAATATAGAATTATTGTCAAAAAATATATATTGTAAAAAAAAAAAAAGAATTATTGCAATAATTTCTATTTATTTGAATTTGATTATACTCGTATAAAATATTATACTCGTATTTGAATATTGTTTGTTCATTAAATCAATATATCTTATGTAAATGTTTTATGCTTTATTATTAAAAAAATAAATTTACTATTCAAAATATATACTTGTACTTTTCTATTTTTTTGAAATTAAGTATTAACTATATACTTGTATTTTTTATAATATATGTAACATACCCATTTTTACCGTATTTAAGAAAAATGGATTAAATGATTGATAAGAGTATGTGGGTCATGAGTTTTAAAGAAGAAAAATTTACAATTGATGAATTGAAAATAAGGTTTTTTTTTTTTTTTTTTTTTTTTTTTTTTTGGACACAAAAACAGAGCTTAGCCATTTATTAACTCATCAAAAGTTCAAGATCATTACAAATCGCCCTGTGAATTTCCGGGGATACTCCTCTAACCAAACCCGAAAATCACTAAAAGTACTACTCAAACTAGCTAAACCATGGGCAACACTAACTTAAAAACTGATGAATTGAAAATAAGTTAGATTAAAGTAATCATATCAAATTTGATGAATTGAATGTGTAGATGATCTGACCACTAACTTAAAAACTGAAAAAGAAATGAATTTTTTTGTACTTTCAACAATTTTTTTATTTATTTTTTTTTTTTTTTTTGTTGTTGTTCCATCCGGTATACCCTTTGGGCTAATTCGAATTTGGGGATCAATTTTGGGTGAATAAGTTCCAATCCCCTCCCAATTGTTGTTACAAGAAATCGAACACGGATTCTCCCTACCAAGTATAGTCTCAATCATCACTACAGCATCAACCAATTTGTTGTTGTTGTTGCACATAATACATAAGATAACAACTATTTTTAGTAAATGTTGCACATAATATGAAACGGATGTAATATAAAATATTTTTTTTAAAAAAATAAAAATTACATCGCTTTCATAAGATTTTGGAATGACAGATAGTAGCCATATTATATTTATTTATCTTTATCTTTAAATTTTATTAGTTGGATTTAGTGAAGACCATGAGAGGCTATTGATATAATATTTAATGTAGGTTTTTGTCAAAAAAAACTCAGGGCATGTTCACTTCAGCTTAATTTCAGTTCAGTTAAGTTCAGCTCCAATCAGTTGAATTCAGTTCAGTTCAGTTCAGTTCAGCTCCAATCAGTTCAGTTCAATTCAGCTCCTAATTTCCTTCTCTCATAAGATATTCATTTCACTTTAGTTCAGTTAAGTTCAGTTCAGTTCAGTATGGTAGATAAAGTTATTCTTTTATTGAGAAGTAAAGTGGCAATTCAATAATACGTGGACCATTGGAAAAGTAAGAAATGATAAATTAAATATGAGTGGAGATATTAGTAGGTAAAGATATATTATTACTCCCTTTGTCCCTATATTTTTGCCCCATTTGACTGTGAGCAAAATTAAAGTTACGGAGGGAGTACATTATAAGAGGAGTTCCGCATAGTCCCTATGTGCAAAAATGCATATAGGAGGGCAAAAGTGGAAAAGCACTGAGTTTTGACATCCAAACTGGTACTTTTAATGGTTACCATGGTCAGTGGTACATTTTTTATACTATTATGCATGTATATGTACTATTATGTCTTAGTACTTTAGTACAGTAGTACTATTATATCTCACAATGGCATAATATTTTGATATACCATTTACATACTTATTTGTAATATTAGCATTATATATAATTATTTATACCACTACAACATTTAGGGCCTGATCACTTTAGCTTAATTTCAATTTAGTTCAGCGCCAATCAGTTCAGTTCAGTTCCAATCAGTCCAACTATGTTCAGTTCAGTTCAGTTTAGCTCCTAATTTTTGTCTCTAATAAAATATTCATTTAAGCTCTATTCAGTTCTGTTCACTTCAGCTCCTATCAGTTCAATTCACTTCATCTCATTTCAACTCCTAATTTTATTTTACACCGAACATTTTGGGGCGTGTGAACAGTAATTTTTTCATAAAAGTAACCTTTTTTTTTTTTTTTTTTTTTTTTTATAAAAGTGACCTTTTTTTTTAACAAAAAGTGACTCTTTTTTTTTTCATAAAAGTGACCCATATTTTTATAAAAATGATTTTTTTTTTAAAAGTGACTCATATTTCTACAAAAGTAACCTCTTTTTTTTTTTTTTTTTTTTTTTTTTTTTTTTTTTTTTTAATAACAAAAGTGACCCTTTTATTTTCACAAAACTTAATACACAATAGATCTCCATCATTTTATTGAAGCTAGATTACTAGTCTTCTTCATTCCACAATTTACAAGTAAAAATGTACTGAAAAACGATGAAAGAAACGCAATTAAAAATTGAAATCAATGTTCAACAATAGCAAAATCACATAAATTATACTAATTGTAGACACCCATTTGCGTCTCCCCAAAACCAAACCCGGTGATAAGTCTCTTTCACGTCATTTGATTTATCAAACAAAGCGAAAGTGTGAAAAGTCTAATGATGAGGATGTTTTTATTAAAATATCTCTTCTTTCTGTTTTTGAAAACAATTCTTTTCTTACCTTATTTATGAAAAACGTGCATTCCATTTTAGTTTGGTCCATGATAAGGGTCCAATAATAGTGTAGTTGGATGGGGCTTGAAAAGAGCTTTCCAACGATATATTATAAGCCCAATTCCGATGAATAATGAGGAAGTTATGGCCAAAATACTGAACTAGGCCCGGTTTGATCTTTATATGGGGCTCAATGATCTAGAGGAGGGCCTAATCATTCCTAAAGCAATTAGAATTTATTTTAGTCTTCTAGAAGGTTCTTTTCATTCCTAATTCAATTAGCATTGATAAATTGACTTTGGTTGACTTTTTGGAGTTTTAATCAGAATAAAAGAGTGTTTTTGAGGAAAATACAATTTTGTCCTTCTGTACGGTTAAATCGAAATTAAGAAAAAAACGTGAAAATCATTGTTACGCCTGACGACAGGGATTAACGTCTGGCGCTAATCTTCAGCGTCTGGCGCTAACCTGTTTTTATTCTCGTCGAAAATCTGATTTGTTTTTCTATCCGTTTGGCTGATTTTCTCTATAAATAACCTCCTAAAACCTCCGTTTTCAACTATCAACTACCATCAAAATATCATATATTCTCTAGTTTTCTTATTCTCTCTAGCTTTTAAGAATTCTCTTCTCTCTCTAGCTTTCTCTACAAAATTCCACATTCACAAGACCTAGAAGCACCTAGCCAAGTTCGAAGTTGTCTTTGCCCTAGACGTGAAAGGTTTAATTTCTGAGGGTTTGGTCTCAAATCTCTCTTTCAATTATTATTTAATTTAATTCTTTGATTATTATTCTCCTTGAAGTTACTAACGTGTGTATTTTGTTATTAGAAAGAGATATGAGGCATCCAAGTAAGTGCTTTAATTGATTTATTGTTATTATGATTACTTCCTCCGTTTTTTTTATTGCATCATAGGGGTTTTGGAGGCAAAATTTGGTAGTGGGAAAAAGTAAGAGAGAGAAACGTAAAAATACAAAATTGTCCATGTAATGTAAGATAAAATAAAAAGTAAGTGTGAAAAAGTAAGAGGATGTTGGGTATTTGCAGTGTGAATATAGATATTTTTTATCCTAAAAAGGAAATGATGCAATAATAAGTAAACTTCCTAAAGTAATAAGTGATGCGATAAAAAAAAGAACGAAGGAAGTATTAGAAATCATGTTTAGGTTGTTATTATGATTCCTAGTATCATGTTAGGGGTGTAACCTTCAGCTCGTGAACGGTTTACAAGTTCCTAAAACTTGTTGGCGACTCTTTTGCTATATCTTCTTTCCCTTTGGACGCCACCATACTTTAGTGTATGATCATAATGGGGTTCAAGCTAGGGGTAATGCTTGAAATATTCCCTACACTAATATACTTATCTCACTGTAGACACCCATTTGTGTCTCCCCAAAACCAAACTCTCAGAAATATCAAATCTTTTACGTCTAGGGCGAAGAGAACTTCGAACTTGGCTAGGTGTGTCTAGTGCTAATAAATAAGTTAATTGAAAAGGCTCATAAAAAGAGCTTTTTCAAAAAGAGCTTATTTATTGGAATAACCTCTTTAAATAAGCTTCCCATCAAACGCGTTAAATTAGCTTATTTAATAGTCAGTAAATTAATGTTGGTCAAATAAGTTAATTTTGCTCAAATAAGTTGTTTACCAAACAGAGCCTTTATCCAATTTCTCCTAAAACTCCGCGCATGGAGAAATAGAGCAAGTATTAAGAAAACGAAGGGAGTATTTGTTAAGGGAAAGGGACCTTTTGAAATATTAGAATCTATTTAGTTGTATTTAACAAACCTCTTATGTCTTACAAGAGGTGAACGAGTGTCCTATCCTTATTGTTTTTTGTTTAAAAATCTACTTTAATATTATCATGTTGTTCTTATTTTAATTTTGAAATTTGAATTTATACGCTTCATTCCTATGGCGGAAAAATGGTAATTATAGACTAAAAAAAGTAAAAATAACTAATACGAGTATATCAACAAAATCAACTCTTTGAAATTCCAACAATAAATGTATACTCTTATTGCATATTTACAATTATAATTACAATCAGTATGACTTGAGTGCTCCATATTTGGTCTCTTCATTTGAGATGTCCTTGGATCAAATCTGGTATTATAAAAATCAAAGAATTAATCATAAAAACTACACAATGTAAAAAAATTGAAAAGAATACATAATTAAAAACAAACTAATAAGAAAAGCAAGTTATTAATAAAAAAAGGAAATGCATCGGATAGATTGAGTGAAGAAAATTAGGCGAAATTTAAGAGAAAAACTGACCTCATTCTTCTTTGCTTGAACACGGCAATATACATACAAATTTTTTTTTTTTTTGAGAACACATATACATACAAATTTCATTAATAGTACTGTATAACACTATAACTTAAAACAAAATTAATTTTACCACACCTATTTAACCAGTCAAAAAATAAAGAACAAAATCCCAAAATAATCAATCATCCCCACGGATCCACCCCACAAAAACAAATCCACCATTCTTAGAGCAACCCATAAAAACAAGACAAAAAAAAACTCCTTACAAATAATCAATCAAGCCAGTTCGATATGCTGAATCGGGTGATTATCTTATTGTATATTATAGTGGTCAAATAAATTTATGAGCTCCTTACAAAATACCCAATCGAGCCGCATGCAAATCCAAAAAAAAATAAAATTTAAAAAACTTTCAACAATTTCAATATTTACAGTTGAAATCAGAGATGAAACTGCATTATTCCATATTCATTGTTAAAACTGAGGATATAACTTTTGCAACTTAATATGACTTAATCCACGTTGACTTCCCCTTAGTTGTCTTCAATAATTGTACACCTCCTATTAACCAATTGGTATAGTCCCATTGTAATCGTGTGTTCCAATAATTTGCAAAAACATAGTCGGTAGTCGGTGCTCTAACATTTCTTGATTTGGAGTTGGAGGTGAATTTCACTAGTTTCCTGTGATAACAAATACAAAGGAGATAGAGAGAGAGAGAGAGTTAAGTGTTTCACAGTGAAGACTTGACGTTAACAAACGGCTGTCATATGGCGTTAACCCCAAACAGCAATCAGTAATATTACGTGGATGCTTAGTCATTATAGTTGGCCAAGTCAACACACGGAAGTTACCATTTCATCCTCATAATAATAGGTTGAAATACCATAAAAGCCCCTAGATTAACAAAATTCAGCAATCATGAAGATTAACTGGGATTTTCCCTTTGGAAACAAGTTCTTTCTTTCCATTCCCTCATCTTTCCCTCTGTTTCTTTTCATTCCCCTGCCCTCTGATGGTGAACCAGACCATTAAAGTGTTCTGTTTCAATAGAGTTTCAAACCATTACAGCGATATAGGCATTAATGTCTCTTTCCGTCTTCTGGATAACCCTGCAAGAAATCAAGAGATGTACACACTTTGTGTCACTCACTGAATTTCTCCTGTACAACATCCTCCCTCCTTCCCACAATCGTTAGATACCTCCAAAAAAAATTAAACTGCTTGACAATATCAGGAACGTTAGATTTTTTTTCACTATTCATGTATTAGCTTTGACCATAATTATATACTAACATAATGAAAATACATTTTATCATAAAATATGCTGTTGGATACTAGGTATTAATATAAAGTTTCATTATATAAATTTTATAATAAGTTTCATTGATATTTAATTATATAAAAATAAAGTCAAATTAGTGTATTGACATGTGAAAGTCGACCGTGTCAAATATTATGGGACAAAGGAAGTATCATGCAATGTTCCAAAATCTACAATTTAGGCATGGTAGCGTATACTCCGTAGCCAGATAGTGTATAGCTGTTGCCTGTTGGTAAAATGTTCTCAGAAAATACAGGTGTTTGAAAGGGTAAAACAAGGGAGTAATTTAGACGTTAGAAATGGCTTGGCAGTTGCTGTACTACTACTTCGTAGTTACCTAACTCACTAAAATTCAAAGTTAGCCTTTTACTTAGTTTCTTTCAGCAGTTCAGTCACTTTCAGAGTGCAGATTGTAATCTAGTTGGAATTGAGACGTATTCTACCACTTGAATGCTAACTAACAGCCAACAGTTAGTGAGTTGTGGCCCTTAAATAGACCGTTTTGCTGTTTTAGGAATTTTCAAGGAGGGAGTGAGTAATTGAGTGAGTGACAAGCATTCATGTTGTGCTTCCAAGTTCCTTCATGGTGTTTGCTGTTAATTACTTAACTAGCATTTTGGCCCGTTCGATGCACGGGTTCATATTTAGGTTATTTCATATGTAGGTATGTTTTTCAATAGTTGAAACTTGTGACATGAAATACGAACTAATTGTTTCATTGCTAAAACTTAAAAGGAAAAAAAGAATGAGGGTAGAATTGGGGAAAAAGATAAAAGAATTTAGCTACATATATATATATATATATATATATATATATATATGAAGACTATAGGATATGAAATGACATATTAGTTTAAGTTATATTTTAAGTAAATTAGTTGAAAAGACAATTTTTATATAATTCAATTCATATGTTTATGTGATGTATATTAATTGGTTTAACATGTATATTAATTGGTTTAACTTCATTTTATTATGATGTAAATGAAACACTTTATTTTCTTAATTGAATTTGCAAGTTACAGAATGTATAAAGACTTAAACTAAAAGATTAAAAGGGGTGACATGTGTCATGTGTGGTAGTGAGTGACTTGTGATGACATGTGTCATATGAAAAATTATGGTTTGTGTTTTTAAATACTAAGTATAGATATAGATTTGTCAAATCTTGTCTTCGGTCTTCTAATTGTTTTTTAGGAGGCTACTACAAGACTGTGGGGGCATGATTTATTGATTTTATTACACCTTTTTTTTCTAAGTAGTTTTTCATAAATTTTACTACTCTATACTTGATTTACGTGTTAATTTTTGCGATTGGAATAGGGATTTGGCTTATTTGCAAATACATAATAGTATAATGCCTATCACAAATGAAAATAAGGAAAGGAAATATTAGTAGGAGTAACTTTATAATTTTCTAACTAATTCTCAATATATTCTCAAAACCAACCTAATTTGTAATATAATTGAGGTATTTTGTAAATGAAACAATACTCATACAATTAGAATACTGCTTTGTACGTATCTGGGAAGTGTTTATATTTATTATTTTTTTACTCGGTAAAAAGTTATAATAAATAAAATTGTTACAAGTACCACTATAATTTCGTGTTTTGCTTATAGCACTTTCTAATTTGAGAGAGTTAAGCCTATTAAAATAATTGGACGGTTAACTCTTAAAATACCAATTAGAAAGAATCAAGTGTTGTTACAAATAAAGTTGCTACCAACTTACCATTATAATTTATAAATTACAAATTTGGTCATTTGTTTATACCTCTTTCTATTTTTAGAAAGTAAATCCTTTATTTAGGCTATTAAATATATAAAATTATTGGACGGTACACTTAAATATACGAATTAAAACAAGCCAAAGTCTAAGCTATACGCCTAAGTCATCTATACCTTATATACAATACTATATAACACAAGAGTCAACCCTTTATACAAAGAAAAACAAATAAAAGTGCACCACTTTACAACATTCAACGCCCCTTATACAAAGAAAAATGTGGTAAAATAAAATAAAGTACACCTTTTACAGCAGTCAACGCCCACTGTCAAAAACCTTTTTATCCTAATTCAGATATTTGTGTGACGACCAAAATGTCATCCATTCATGCAAAATCACAACAAGCTAAAAAAAATTCAAAATTCAGAAAGAAAAAGAAATTGACGTCAACAAAGTGCTTATAAGTTACTAACACCATGACGTGGATAGGTCTTTTGCTCCCACCTGGCCCACTTAGTGTCATCCACCTGACATCCTCACATTTTTATATTATTATACTACTCCAACGTGACAAAAAACCTGTCTCTTTTTTCAATTTTTTTTGGATATCTATAATTATTTTGACCACAAATCCAAACATTATCATTTTACCTTGGGCCTCTTTTGTCGTATTTATATATCACGTATGTAACCCGTGTGTGAATTGTGTTGACCATTTTCTCTTTTTTTTTTTCCAATTATACCCCTACAATACATATATAAGGCGCAGTCAATTGAAAACATAATGAATTCAGCTCAATTACTTAAATTTAACAAAGTCAAAATTGCCAAAAATAGAAAATAAATGGAAGCTGAATCAAGCCAATACTATGTGTACAATGATAGACCACAAAGTTGGCAGTTGAGTCCAGAGCAAGAGATGAATGTCATGGTTTCGGCTTTGAGGAACGTCATTGCTGGCGGCCGAGGCAGTAGCGTTGGAGGTAGCGGCAATCAAAACCCATCTAATGATGGGTCCAGATTAGTACTTGAAGCACTTCAACAGAATCAAAACACCTCCACGTCATCTCCCCCTGCTTCCGCCACGAGTCTGAATTTCCCGCCAAATTTCGAAAATTCAAATAATGGTAGAACTGCTAATACCAGTGGCGGTAACGGGGGACCGAGGCGACGGAGGAAGTACAAAAGAAACAAGTTTAGAGGTGTACGTCAGAGGCCGTGGGGAAAATGGGCTGCTGAAATTCGTGACCCGCACCGGGCGGTTCGAGTTTGGCTAGGAACATTTGAGACAGCTGAGGATGCTGCTAGGGAGTATGATCGTGCTGCCGTTCGATTTCGAGGTCCTCGTGCTAAGCTTAATTTTCCACTCACTGATTACCCGCAAGAGCTTGAAGAGCAGCAGAACCTCCATAATAATAATAATAATAATCAAGAGGTTGACAATAACAGCGGTAATCAACAACAACAACAAGTGGTTGCTGGAATGAGTATTGATGATGACAATGCAAGTCCTACGAATCAAGAACCGGAGACGAGTGGTTTCGTGCAGATTACTGATGGTACGGAGATTTCGAATTGGGTGGATGACATGATTGATAATATTCCTCCGTTTCAATGATCATCTTCTTTGTGGTACATACTTCAAATAGAAGAGGGGTTGATGACATTTATCGTAGTTTTATAAGGGTAATAGTTATTCTTTATTTTTTATGTAGCTACAACCTTGAGGAGTTTCACTTGAAAGTTCATGGATATGGTTTTTTTTTTGGTGTTTAAAGAACCCATATGGACAGGTGAGAATCGATTACAAGACCTCCTAGAATCGAGAGGGAAGCTCTAACCACTTGAGTTGTCCCTCTTAAGTTCATGCATATATATATACTAGTATTTAGAGTTGCATTTAAAAAAGGGTCTTTTCTTAGCTTTTAGGGGTTCAGGGTAATTTTTAAATTATTTCTTTTAAAACCCAAATCATGTCTAGACTGTAGAATTAGTTAGTCTCTGCTTTTTTTTTTTATGGTTTATTCTATCATTTGTAGGGCGTTAGAATAATTTTTTAAGGAATTAGTCAGGCCATCGTTTTGTGTAGAGCATGGCGCTATTTTTTTTAAAAAAAAAATTACGATTGAGGTCTATTTAACAATAGATAGCTTGTTTAGTTGGCTAAACTTTTAAATGACCAAACTAAACTAATTTGGAGAGTTTGAAGAGGAGTTATATACATACAGAGTATATAGTAAATTTTATTCATTAGTCTTTTGCCTCTCACTAATGGTGGAATATAATTTTGGGATGCCACCGGTGTAAAGAATATAAGTAGCTATTATATGGATAACAAAAATACTTAAATATGGAGCAAATAAGTAAACAAAACAAAAGGAGATGAAAGAACAAGAAAAATAGTAAGGGAGCCAGCTAATGTTGAGTTAAGACTTAAGAGAGTAAAAATCAAATGAATAGAACACATGATGATTGAAATCACCGATTTATAAAATTTCAATGTTTTATAAAATACTACTTACAAAGAAGACATTTTTAATATTTATTAATGAAATTCAATGATCAAAATATAAGATAAGATAATGGGTGACGTGAGCTTGGATTTTATTCTAGCTCTCACATTTGTATTTAGATCATCTCAAAATAATAGATCACTTTCTTAATTTAATTGGCTATTTGGCTAAAATTGTGTCAATATTGCTCTAAATGACGTAAAGAATATAAAAGAAATGCTACGAAATACACAATTTAAATTAGGTGAAGATGTAAACTTTGAAGTAATAGAAATAGAGTTAATATATAGACTCAATTATTTCACAGGCCCCAATTAATCAATATTTTTGTGGGACGGGTGTAGGGTAGCAATTTTTTTTAAAAAAAATTACTTATAAAGAGACCAATCATCTTGAATTAATGGAAAGGTAGAATTGCATAGCTTGCTTTATGCAAAGTATTCTGTAATTCCACAAATCATTACTTATATAACTAATTAGGGGTGAGCAAATCGGGAACCGGGTCCTAGAATTCGGATCCTAAATTGGAATTGGTTCAACCGGGTCCTAAAATTTAGGAATTGGTATTGGAACCATCGGGTATCGGTTCCGGTTCCGGGTACCCACTTATATATGTAATTGTTAAAATATAATACAAATTATAATTCTTATTCTAGTTAGATTCATTTTTAGCGTTTAATACTTATATTTACATATGCATTAAACTATTTGTATTTATGTTAGGTATTAATAATACTTTTTTAATTTACAAATTAGATACATTTAACATATTTTTATTATTTAAAATTCATTTAGTTTAGCATATATTAGATAACCAGGTACCCCACCGGTTCCGGTTCCGGTTCCAAAAGGTTTAGAATTGGAATTGGTTATAACCGGATCCTTAATTTATTACCCGGAATTGGAACCACCGGGTCCAATTCCAGCTCCGGACCCGCCGGTTCCAATTTCGCGTACCCTGAATTTTTGCTCACCCCTATAACTAATGGTAGTATTACAACACTTTCTTATAAAGAAAATATTTTATTAGTTTTTTTTTTTTTTCAAATCTCTTAGTCCATAATTGTTTTAATCTACTGCGTAATTTTTCCATTATAATAACCGCAAATCTGTAAAATGGTAATAATATTAAAAAAACAACACAATTTATAACTATATAAGCTTGAGTATTATGAATATTATGAGATAAATATAAGGGAAATTCCCATTGATACACTTCAGGTATTGACTTTTCCCAACGGTACCACATTTTTTTTTTGACTTCCTAATGATACACATAAGTTTATGACTTACTAACTCACGTGATTAAGTCTGTTAATCAGACGTTAATAAGTTAGTAAATCTAGGTTAAAATATAATTTTGTAAAAAAAAAAAGAAGACTAATTTACCCCCTTTTAAACCCTTCCCTCCAACGATAAAAAACCCTTCCCCTTCCATTTATGTCGATTTGACATAAACCAAACTCACTTTCAAATTTCATCTTTCTCTCCTCTGCTCTCTGTTGAATTCACGAAGGGTTTGCAAGGGAAAATTTGCTAATTTCGTTGGTCTACAAAGCCATTAGAGGGAAATCTTGCATAATTCAGGTACTTTAGCACTACTACTGTTCATTTATGCATGATTTGGTGCATTTGTTTGATGTTCTGTTTTAATATGCGATTTTAGGTTTAATTCATGATTTTAATGATGTATATTTGTGCGATTTTAGGGTTCTTTCATGTATATTAGGTGGGGGCTTATGTTTGTTCAATTATTGGTTTAGAATATGGAATTATATTGAATGAAATGCCATGATCATGTTTGATTGATTGTTGGATAATTGAATTGGAATTGATTTGCATGTTGTAAGTGTGTGCATTGTTTACCTTATTTTGCAGAATGGGTGATGTTGTGATAAGGTTTCATTACTGGGATAAACATGTTGATATTGATGTTGACTTATATAGATGTAATTTGATGGACTTGATTATGGATTTTGAGGACACTACTGCATTAGACACTGAGTATCCCTTAATCAACCCTACCTTTGGTTATGGTCACAATGAAAAGAATCACCCTTTACTAAATGATGCTGATGTTTTAAGATGATTCATACCCTAGGTGATTGTGAGATGTACCATATTTGGGTTGGGTTTGCCAAGAAACCAAGTGCCTTGAATAGAATGATCAACAGGTTAAGGAACAAATCCAAATCTGCACAACCAATTGATGCACCTTCCCAAACATTGTGAAAGACTCATCAAGGGAGCATTGGACCATTATTTCTGATAGGCAAAAGGCAAGTACTTTCCTCTTTGTGTTTCAATTTTTTGATTGTTTTGCTATGATATGAGTCTATCCCTAAGTAAGCTTATAGTGTTTGCATTAACCCAATTCCTGACACACAGCAATGGCCTGCAGATGAGTCAGGTACAATCATCATGCCTCCTAAGATGAAGAGGGGAATTGGAAGACCAAGTAGGAATAGAAAGAGGGAGGAAGGTGAAGAGCAACCTGGAAAAAGGTCCAAAACAGTCAAATGTAGCAAATGTGGTTGCTTTGGCCATAATAAGACAACTTGTAAGGGAGGGTTAACTGGGAAAGAACTGAAGTGAAATGAGCCTGTTGTCATAAAAAATCCTAGGGTCAGAGACCAAAGTAATGCAGCAAAGGCAGCAAAGAAATCTGAAGAAGTTGGATCTCAGTCTGCAGCTTCAGCTAAACAAGCAAAGGGACAGAAGGGCAGCCCCTCAGCTGAGGAAGCAATAGTACTGACAGCTTCACAATTGTCTAACCAACCAGTGCCTATGTCTCAATGAAAATCAAATTCTCCAAGCTCCTAAGTCTTTTGTTCTGCAGTATAGTGGCATATGCATTTTGATAATTTTATAGAAAGTCAAAACTTGTAATTAACTCTGTTTTTTTGTCATTTGGGATGATTTTTGCTGTTGTTATTTGGTAATTTAGTAGACAACTTTACTATTGAAAGTTGGATTTTTGCAATGTTCCCAAATAACCTATATATATTAATGAATGTTGGCAACTGATGTCATTTTGTCTATTTCAATTTGTCCCACATTTTAGTTACTTTGTCTATTTTAGTTGATCTCAATATTAAACATACACAGTCAATGATAAGTTTGCAGCAACGTCAGAAGAGAAGATAAGTTTGAGATAAGTTTGTAACAATGGAAGAGAACTTTAATGGAGAATAGAAGAGGGGAAATTGGCTTTTTTTAGGGAGGGAATAGGGTTTGAGAAGTTGGAGGAAAATAACAGACAATTTAAGGGGAAAAACTTGGAGGGAATGGATTAAAAAAGGGGTATATTAGTCATTTCATCTTTTACTAAGCCTAAGATGTTAATTTATCAAGTTATTAACGTCTGATTAACAGATTTAGGTACGTGAATTATAAAGTCAAAACCTTGGGTGTATCAGCAGGAAGTCAAAAAAAAAATGTGGTACCATTGAGAAAAGTCAAAACCTGGAGTGTATCAATGGGAATATCCCTAAATATAATACTAGACATAACCGAATAAATAATTAAAACTACTTCTCTTTTTTTACCATGAGAGTGATTATTTATGATCATATACATAAATACATAATACAAACATTAAAGGTTGCGTCAAAAAAAAAGTACATGAAAGAAAAGAAGAAAATAATTTTAAATTATTAGGAACACGTGTTCTTAGTGCCAAAAGAATAAAGTATTAGTACCACAACATTAAACTGTATTTTATACATGGAACATGAAACATGAAACATTATCCATAATTCCTTATTGCCTTATTCTATAAATTGGAATGTAAGATACTTTACAACTATACCACAAAGAAAAAAAAAAAAACAGGGAAAAAAAATAATAATAAAATAAAAGACAGAAAAGTATTGAAAGCAGACAACCAGCTGGACCCAGTTAAAATTATACTAATAATTTGGTAAATAATAAAGTCAAAGCGTTTCATACTCTTCTAAACCCCGTGTGTGAACTGTGTTGTGACTGTTGACCACTTTTTTTACTCCACTCACTCGCCCTTTATATAACCGCTATTACCTGATTTTCTTTATTTTCAAGTTTCAACCATCTCTGTTTTTCCTACCTTAAAACACACAATTCCAAAATCAATACTAGTAGATGGATTCAACCCAAAATTATTATTTCTACGACGAGAAACCCTGGAAGATGGAATCGAACCACGAGATGAACATGATGGTATCGGCTCTGAGTCAAGTTATTTCTGGAGACGACGGCGGCTACAGTAGCATGGGCATCAATCAACAACCACCTATTGATGGGTCCCATTTAATATTTGAATCGTTTCAAGACCAACAAAATTTCGCCACGTGGTCACCAGCGTCTTCTACCACGTCACCAGTTCTCCCGCCAAATTCCCAGATTGAAAATGCAGACACTACTACTGCTACTAGTAGTAGCAGTAGTAGTGGAAAACAGAGGACAAGAAAGTACAACAGAAACAAGTACAGGGGAGTACGGCAGAGGCCTTGGGGGAAATGGGCGTCTGAGATTCGGGACCCACACCGGGCGGTTCGGATGTGGCTCGGAACATTCGAGACGGCCGAGGAGGCTGCTAGAGCTTATGATCGAGCTGCTGTTCGCTTTCGAGGCCCGCGTGCTAAGCTTAATTTCAGTGTCTCTGATTACCTTCCACAGCTTGAAGAGTACAACAGTAATAATATATTTTATCAAAATCAAGAGCAGCAGATAAACAACAATAATAATTATGGTAATCATGTTAGTCCTACTAATCAAGAGCCAGAGACGAGTGGTTTCGTGCAGATTACTGATGGTGCTGAGCTTGAGCATTGGATGAACGATATGATTGACAATACCCCTCCGTCGTTAATGTATGGGGACCCATCATTCGGAATTTAAATTACATCATTGTTTTTTGTGAGAGAAAAAAAAAATATGTTTATGGTAGTTGTAAAAGGTGAAAGGGATAGTAAAATTTAACACAAAAGATGCTTGTAATGTAATTTTGTATAAATATAGCTTAAGTATAGTATAGGAGTACATATTATCATGTACCTAGATTATGTCCAGAACTAGTTAGATTGTCTCTGTTTTATTTTTTTTAATAGAAATGGATACAATTAGTTTTGATTCATTTGATCGTTTGTTACGAAATATTGAAGGATTATCTAAATGGAAAATGAACAGTCACACATGAGGGTTTATATATTGAATATTTTTATGCAAACATAAATTATGATTAATCCAATTATCAATTATTTTGTTAAAAAAAAAAACACACAAATAAAATGTTCCCGCTAATTTCATTTCTTTTATAATGTGATAAGTTGGATTTGGAGCCATTTTTTAATAGATTAGTAGTTTTTTATACTCTAATTAAGACATTGGTTACTGGTTGATAAGTAGTTTCAATCAAGACTAATTACAAATATACTCCGTACTTTAAAAACGGAAAGAAGAACCAATGCTAATTACTCAATCAACATAAAAAGTTGTATTAAAAAAAGCACGTGGAACATGATTAATTACAATAATCAATGATGCTTACAGTTAAGTAATACTTAATACATTAGAGCACGTTTAATAAGTGCTTGAAAATAAAAAATGTACTGTTTCCTAAAGTGGTAATGTGGTACAACTATATTCGATGATTTCTATATAAGGAAAAGAAACTTCATGTTGATGGATTCTATAGATTAGAGTGCTACCAAACAGCTGGGCCCCCGTGTTGTCTGTGAAAAAAACAGCAAATTGTCAAAGACTTTCACACTACATCATCTTCAAGTTGAAATCCACGGTTTTTTTGTAATGCTTTCTAGGAAAGATCCTTCTCACGTGTTTTTTCCGTGGGTTGATTCCTTCAAATTTTGGAAAGTCATGACAGTTGTACAGGCCCAATATGACAGCTGTCCAGCCCAACAAGAAGAAGCCCAAGACCCAAAACAGCTAAATTTTCTAAAGGACAAAAACAATCAAAGATATAAGAAAAAAGGAGTAGAAAGCAAGAGTTGGAAAGAGTTTTATCAGTAATTCACTAGCCAAAAATGAGTGAGAAGATATCCATATATTGTCACAATAATTAGAGACAATATTAACACATAAAACTCTCATTAATCCCTACAAAACAATATTTTCTCTATAATGTCGAATCCAAAGCCCAATGCCCTTAATTTACTTCTTCCACTCTCATATAAACTAAATCATTACTTTTACAACCCTTTGTTAAATTAAAAGGGCTTACAAACGGGACAAAAAGCTAAGTACTTCTAAAATCACCTAATATGAGGGATCTTCAACTTCGTAATTTGCTTCAATACGATGATTAGCCCAAACCATCTTTGAGGTGTTCAGCTGGATATAGTGTGTTCTCTTGTTTACTGCAGCTTATTGAGCAGTTCCAGTTCCAGTTGCGCTGGTGTTATTTTGCTTGGCAACATAGATCTGCTTTACTTTGGTAGGAGGGAAGCCCCTCTCTCCTCCTGAAGAGTGGTTCCTTCCATGGAACCCCATTTTACGGTTGGACCACTCTGCCCCTGAGCTGTTCTTCTGACCCCCCCCTCTCTGATAATGATTGTACTGCTGTTGTGCAGATGGATGCTTTTGTTTAGACATTTGAGCTTGGGCTTTGTTAGGGGCAGAAGCTGCAACATGTGGGTTCCTTTGGCTTCCAGAGCCTTCAGCACAAGCATCAACCTTTACAGAATCCCCAGACCGGCTACTGCTCCCCATATGAAGAGCCAAAGCTTCAGAACCAATGGAAACTGGTGGATTTACCAAACCAAGTTCATTAGGGAATTGGGTTGCAGCAGCATTTGTACTCATAGAAAAAGATCGACCATCTTCAAGTGATGACGATGTTTGGGTCTTAGAGAAGCCGCTTGCATTTAAAGAGTGATGATCAGCAGATGCATGACTTGACTGAGATGGCATTGCACCCTCAGCTTGCTGTTGCAATGCCATAGATTGTGGAATAGTGTGAATGGGTGATGATTGAATATGAGACCACCGAGGATGCACAGAGACATCAGGTGAAGAGGACTGCAAAGTGAAAATTAAACAGTAAATTATATGAAAACCAGCGCCCTATACCAGATCATAAACAGTTAATCCCTCTCCAGACAAAACAAATAGCAAGGCTGCTCAAAAACTCAAGATGGTTTAATCTCTTATGAAAACCTAAGGATGGCTTCAGTACTCATATATACGCTTCACCATCCAAACAGACCCCACACTAGCAAAATAAATCATGACTTTCCATGCCACAGACAGCAAAGGAGATGGACAAAATGTGCTTAATCATGTAAAATTGTAAACCATTTCAAGATACCTGAAAAGGTGACACTTCGAACATGGCCAAAGGCGATGCCATTGACAGCAGTGGAGACCCAGGAGCCAAATGTTGAGCCTGAGCTGATACATTGTGAGCGCTGCGCTGCACAGGGACCAAATTTGTATTGTTCATTTCACCCTCACTGCCAACCAAGGCAGGTGAGGAATTATGCTTCCAATCTGGCTGTTTCCCAGAGGGGATGTAGGTAGTTCCCATGTAACTCAAGCCAACTTGTCCAAATTGCCCTACAGGAGCAAAATGATTATAAACCACCATATGTGGAGGGCCTTGCACCCCGGGGATACTTCCAGGAGGACTTATGAAAGGGGCTGTGAATCCTGCAGGAGGACCATAGAATGAATCCACACCCGTGTGGCACTGTTGCCAAGTTCCCAACGGCCCCGAACTAGATACACTGCTCTTCTGTGGTTGGGGTTGCAGGGCAGCAGATTCCTCATGGGGGCCAAAGGCAAAGACAGGACCCCTCATCATAGGATTCATATCATAATATGGAAAATGAGAAGTTGGACCTCCAGGAAATGGTGAAAGCATATGACTAGAAGAACTGTGAGGACTAGGTAAAGGTGGCCATATCGAGATAGGTGGTGTCTCTACCGACAGATCTACAGGGAGGGAAACGCTCAAAGTCTCGTCACCCTTCGATTGACTCACTGCATTCTGATCACCCGACATGCCTATGAAATCTCAAAAAAAAAAAAAAAAAAAAAAAGTGAGCACGGATGATATGCATGATAGCACTATCTAATTAATCAGCCAAACAGACAAGATAAGTTATAATACCTGTCGTGATCCTGTTCATATCAGCACCACCAAAACTTTTGGGATCTGATATGGTAGTTGAACAGCTACCAATCCCATTCCCAACAACTTCATCATTGCCAATAGCAGCAACAGCAACAGCTGAAGCTGCTGCTTCAGCTTCAGCCTCACAATCCTCTAACGGTAAGCACAACTCATTAGGACGTTTCTCTTTCTCAAAAAGAACATCACAATTATTTTGCGATGCAGGCATACTTTGGGGCCTTTGAACATTCATCGGGAGAGAAGCAGGAGGCCTAACGTTATGTGAAACACGTGTACTTGGAGGAAGAATCGTTGGAGATGTGACTGCACCTGGAGAGCAGTGAGCAAAACCAATCAGAAGATAGCTATAATTTAACACACAACACAGGTTGACTTTCATGGCTGCCAGACTTACCAAATTGTATCTTCTCCCCAGCAAGGAGAGAATTAATAGGACTAGTTACTGAAGAAAATGTGTTATCTTTTGCAAGGACAGATGATGATGACAAGCCTGTGTCATTGACTGAGCTACCACAATCTCCAATAGATATGACGTGTGTATCGAAATGAGCAGGTTTCATAGCCTCCTCGAGTTGGGTCTGTGTCAAGGCCATAACCTACAAATAGTCAATCAAGCAATTCAAAATTCTAACAAGCTAAACTAATAACAAAAGTAATAGTTAATTAATAAATGATGCCTTTACAAGTAAAGGTAAGGAGACGACAGCAGCTTATCACTTGGACAATAAAAGGCTAAACCAAATGTAATAGACCGGCTTTAGGGGGGGGGGGGGTCAGCCACAACCTATACGGGTCTATGCTAGAAGAGTCAAACACGGGTATCAACAACACAAACCACAAAGAGCTAGGGACAAAATCAATTAAGAAGAGGAGAAGGAAAGAAAGCAACCTTAGTCCTAGGATGTTTATTTACGTTTTTCTATATTAGCTAAGTTTCACATGTTAAGCCTTAAGGTCATCCTTGACCATCTTAGTATAAGTAGTATGGGTAGTGTTAGTGGAAAATCAGACACAAATTAGTGAGGAAAAATTGGAGAGTTGCAACCTCAAGTTGCTAGGAGATTTGTAGCCTCAAGCTACTGAGAGATTCATAACCTCAAGCTATGGCTATCCTTATGCAATCCAACCATTAATCAATCAAATGTTCAATCTTTCAGCCTTAAATTAATATTAATTGTGCTTAATTAAATAAGTAGAATCCAGTCTATAACACCAAACATAAAAATACTATTACTAATGCCAAAATCACATCAGGAAAGCACAAGAGTTTATCTAGTTCATTCCATCACTATGTAACACTAATAAAATTAAACATATTTCAAAAGCTTTACGATTCTTAACTCTTCTCCACCCCCAGAAATACTATAAAAAAACATCCTATTTCATTCTTAGAGCTTGAAATACTAGTCAAGAACAAGTGTACACTGTATAAATCCACACTTATAAATAGGTTTACAGCAAACAAACATGGAAACAATGAAGCAAACATTGAAATTACGACTGATGATGTGATGCATACCGGCTGAGTAATGCTTGGACTACCCCAGGAGCCAATAGGTGACTGAACTCCATCAACAGCCTTTCCTTGAGAATCAAAAGTCACGTCAGGAGCATCAGATCCGATAGTTTGCCCATTGTTTGCATAGGAATTTGTTTTTGGTGGCCTGAAAACATTTAATAATTACCATTTCAGCAAACTGAGAAAATTTGAAGTAGACAAGGAACATTTCCCTTCAAGTAGTGCTTACTTCACAGTTTGGGATTTGCCTTCAATTTGACAATCAGAACCTATAGGAGGAGTGCCAATTGGAGCCAATGGCTGGGATCCTACATTATTCAATGTTGCAGACACATCATTGTTTAGCAAGCCTCTTTTTGGCGCGATAGCGGAGCGAACACTCTTTGTTGCTTGTGCATTTAATGGTGCAGTTGCTCTGCTTGTGCTTCTAGTTGTGGCAGTACCTTGGGCTGCAGGCCGAGATTTTTGCTGAGCCTGAAGTACAAAGAGTAAGTTTAAAATTTCAGGAAAACAAATAATACATTCAACAGTCAAATCAATAAAAAGGCATATACCTTTTTCATGTTGTTAGATTTTGCCTTAAAATCCTTTTCTCTCTGTTCACGCCGATCATTCAGCATTTGCCTCTTTGACCTGACCTCAATAAAGTCATCTTCATCACTAGGGGCTTCGATACCAGGTTGCTTAAATACACGCACGATACCACTTTGCAGGGGAGCATCAACGTCATCTTCTGAACCAATGTTTCTTTTCAAGCTTCCTTCAGCACGATGTGAAGTGTCTAGCCCACTGGTTGCAGCTGCTTCTTTTAATGCTGCCTTGTCTTCTTCAATCCCAGAACCAGACACGTGAATCTGATCTGAGCCTGAAATCTCTGAATCAACGGTTTGCTTTGGTTTATCAGACCGTAGTTCTTTCTTAAACCCACTTTTCGGCTGTGTCTCAGTACTCTTTCCATCAGAATTCAATTTGTCATCCGGTCCAGCGAAACTAGAAGGCAATACAGAAGATTGCTTTCCCTCAGCAGGCTGGCGTACACGGAACTCAAATCGCTGTGGACCACGCCGTGGCTTCCTCTGAAATCCATTGATATCTGATCGAGATGCCTCGTTTGCAGAAGAAGAAGACCTAGGTCCAGGATGTCTAGCTGTGAACGCAAATCTCCTCCCTCTGCCGCCCGAGAATTGGCCCTGGGCTGATGGCCCACTAGAGTCTTTTACATTAACAGCAGAATGAGATGATGAAGGCCCAAATCGACTTTCTGATGCTCTATTATTCAACAAAGGCTTCGGGTTTCTTCCTAAATTACAAGGATGCCCCAAATTGTCAGCTTGTTGACCCAAGTCAGGCCTAATCTGGCCCATGCTGGAGCTGTTTTCTTGATTCTGACACAACGAAACATTAGTTCCTGAACCCGGTGTAACAAGCTCTTTGAAATCACTACCCTGATGTGCATTCAACAGATATGGAAGCTGAACTTGATGGCTTTTAACAGAACTGTGTGATGAATCTTGAACAGGCTTGGCAGCAGGTGGACCTCCAGGTACTTGACTTGTAGTATAACTTGGTGTAAAATTAGGCTGAACAAAAGACATCGATTGAGGTGCTAAAGGTAAGATTCCCTGAGACATGGGAGGTGGATACCTGAGCTGACCAAATTGAAAGAGGGGAGGCTGTGGAGCATGCATATGAGTTAAGGAAGGACCCATTTGCGGATGAAGTTGGAGAGGCATCTGAATAGAACCAATTTGAATAGCTGGAACAGGAGAGGGAATCAAAGAAGGTCCAGAAAACAACCCAAACTGAAGCTTAACAGGCAAGTCAGCAGGGCCCTTGGTAGCAGCTACACCTGGCAAGGTCTGATTAGATGACAGTGAGTTTGTCATGACAGGAGATGATACCGACTGCTGAGCACTCAAAACAGTACCAGAGGTAGAAACCCCTGTATTCAAAGAATCTAATGACATAGATACATTAGTTGGCTCAAGATTTTTCTCAGACTCTTGAACTATAACACATGAACCATCAACGGATTCTTTTTGTTCCAGGATGCTGACAGCCACTTGAGCTCCTCTATACAAACTTTCATCAATCTTCGGACTTTTATCATAATCCTCATTTGGTATTCCAACTTCCACACCCTGGTCAAAGCCAAGAACCATGTTGTCCGTATGAGGAGAGTCTTTCCCTTCCAGATGCATATCTTCAAACTCATGGTTCAGTTCAACATTCTCATCATCTCCTTCATGTACATCTTCTTCATGGTACCCTACATCTTCATCATACTCTTCTTGCTCTGGTAACTCCTCATTGTTATCTATTGTCCATTCTTCATCATCACCTACTGATACTGAACTCGCACTAGCAATAGTATTACCTTTGACCATTTTAGCTTTTGAGAGTAAATCCTCATTCTCAGAAAGGGTAATATCTTGGCTTTCTGCCCTACAGTGCACTGCCAAAGATTCCCTGGATTCATCCAAATCATCATGAGACAGATGAGTAGGAGAACTAGGGGGACTTGAAACAGAAAGTGAAGATTGCGAGTCACGCCCAGGTGTAGTACTTCGATTCAGTTCTTGCTCCCCATTTATAGAGCTCTGCTCCGCGACATCCAATATTTCTGAATGCTCTTTATGAGCATCCTGATAGCTTACTCCAGCAGACTCACTTCGCGATGCCTGATTCAATTGAATGTTTCCATCTTCATATGCTGAGGACTCAGGATGTTCACTTTCTCCTCTGAAGGAAGTCCGATGTACAGAAGGTAATGATGGAGGGGGCAAGACCCGGGGTTGTCTAGCAGGATATCTTGACCTGCCATAATTACAAAGGTCATCCAGATCAGAATTCTGATAAAAACGGTCTGGAAAGGGAGAATTTCCACGACCCCTGCCCTGTCCCCACCCCAGATCAAATCTATCAGCAACATTATCAGGGAAGTCAGCTTCTAAGTCCATGTTCCTGCCATACGGATCACCATCCCCAGAAATGTTCCACCTTTGACCCCTTGGATGAGGAAAATCGTCCATGAGAGGTTCTGGAATCCCCCCTCGGTAGTAACCCCTGGTAGGCATGTAGCCTTGCCCTCCATACAAGTCTTTCCGAGGAAATGACTTTCCTCCCACAGAGACATCCCGTCTAGGACTCTGATGACCGTTCTCGGGATCTGCAGAAAAGAAAGACGAGCTGTTCCCATTCTCAAACATATCCCGTCTCCAAGAATTAAAGGGTTTTCCTCTATCTGTAAAAGCAAAAGAAGATTCTCTAGCTGCTACAGCCCGGGACCCCATGTCAAAAGGTCTACTAAGACTGGAATCAGAAGATGCTGAATTTGTGATCCTCTCCACCATCCTTTCTCCATCTTCCCAGCAAGAAAAATCATCAGCCCGGACATCTCTATCTTTGGCAACCACAGGCATCATTTCATCTGGAACAGCAGCAGAACTATTGACCTTTGCCGTTTCAGCCTGTCTCCTTGCAATCCTTTCTTCTAGTTCCAGAAGTTTTTGCTTGGCAGCTTGCTTTCTTCTATCCTCCTCCATCATCATTCTTTGTTTCTCATCTTCTCTAGCAATCCTCTGCTCTTCTGCCCTCCGTATAGATTCTAATCTTTCTTGCTCTGACCTCCAAGCAGCTTCACGTGCTTCCTCTACCAATCGTCTCTGGTGTTCTTCCTGTTCCCTAGCAACCCTCTGTCTTTCCTCTTCTTCTCTGCGAGCCATTTCCAGAGCTCTCTCTTGCTCTTCGATGATACGCTGCCGCTCTTGTTCTTGAATCTGTTGAACCCTCTCAAGTTCAGCCTCAAAGGATTCCCGAACAGGATCATGAAAGTTGAGTGGTTTATTTGCATCCTTCTTCCTCTTTACCGCCCCAAGAACACCAGGAAAAGGATCTTGTTCATCAAATCCAGAGAAAGGGTCTTCGACATAAGGTTTTTCATTTCTGGAAGTGGAACGCTTGTCCCTAACAAAATTCTGTATGTGATCACTGCCAGACAACCCCTTATTACCAGAAGAAAATGAGGATCTCAATCCCATGTTACTTTGAACCTCAGATTTATATCGATTAGAATTATTGGCATAAGAGTCTCGGGTGTCCCTCTCTGGCTTTCTACCATTATTTAGATCCGACGAGCTATTCCACTGCTGTCTACCATGATCCCTCCTGCCAGCAACATAATCCCTATTAGCAGTTTGTCCAACATTATATTCATCCCGGATGTTGCCTCCTTGTTGGGGTGGGAAGTATTTATTATCTTTATTTGCTTCACGATTCACACTGGCAGGCCTTGCACCAAAATTGTTTCTGTCATTTATGACTTCTTGGGAACCAAACCTATCTCTGGAAACAGGGGTTCTCCATGATTGCCCTTCATGGCCCTCTCGGCTTGGTACCCGAGAATTTTTGTTAAAGGAATCGGCATTAGAGACTTCGTTCGGCAAACCCTTGCCAACATCATTGTCGCGCTGACCCCTTCTATCAAAAAGATTCTGAGCTGGTTTATGTGGTGGCAAGCTGCTCCGAGGCAAATCAAAATCCCTATCCCAGTAAGCTTCAGTTCTTGCGAAACCAAGGTCTCTGCTCCTCTCAGTCAATCCATGACTAGTATCACGCTCATCATCTGCCCAATCAGACCTCGGACTCAGCCGGACCAGTGGAAGAGGTCCAGGAAAATAGTCATCCTGCTTTCGGCCTTTTTCTTGAGAGCGGAAATTGGCTGAACTACGATCCTCTCTATTATTAACACCAAGACCATTACCAGCAGAGTGATGGGAAGACTGTACCTGGGGACGCATGTCAACATGGGAATTCAAGTTCAAACTCTCCCTCTGTTCTCCTGTGGGCTGTTCACTCATCCCCTGCCTGTGTTTCTGATGAGCTGAATCCTTCAGTTTCTGAGATGGCACATTTGCAGCACTCAAAGTAGCTTTCAGAGAAGGGAAATCTTCACCTTTCAAAACATTTGCTTTTTCCACAGCACTCATCATAGTCACAGAAACATCAGTTCTAGCTGATGGTGGCATATAAGCAGTACTAACCCCACCTCTGTTAACCCCGTCAACACTTTGAACCCCATGATTGACACCCTCACTAGACAATGGCCGATCACCAACACCCTCCCTCTCAGTTCCAACAATTGCACTTGGCTTGGACCAGCCCATGCCTGATGAGGAAGGTCTCGCCCCACTACCAGCAGCACCTCCACCAGCAGTCCCACTACCAGAACCCAATGAATCAAACTTCTCATGTTCCCTCCTCAAAGAAGGCAAATTCAAGGGGGGTGGAACAGAAAGCTTCGTCCCAACTTTGTGCGAACTCCTTGGCCGAGAAAGGACCACCATCCCACCCCCACCTCCTCCTCCTCCAGCACCACTGGACCGGTTTCCCCGACCCAATCCATAATTACTACTGTTTGATTGATTAGAATGCAAGGACTGTCCATATGATTTATTCAGATTCACGGATGCAAATCTGTTGCCTACACCCGGATTGGCCATCGACCTGAAATCCGACAGATCCCTAACCCCAACAAAAGCATCAAAAATAATTCCCCCCTTAATCACCGCAAAATTAACACAATACAAATCAGCTCAATCAATTTCCTCCCTTTCACGATCTCAAAATAATCAGCTAGTAGCAATAATCAAATCCTCAAATCACTCGGTTTTTCTCACCTGATCATCAACCAAACCCAAAAAAACAAACAAACACACACAAAACACAAATTCAATGACGATAATCACTCAAACCATAAAAAATGAAGCAATTAAATACGCAGACAATAAATGAGTCTAGACATGATTGAAATAGAAACTAAATTAGGGTTTCTCGATTAAATAAAAAATCTGAAAAAACAAAAGCGAATTAATTACCTGATAATAATAAAGAGAAAGAGGATAAGTGAGGCGGCGGAGGTAGCAGAGTTCCGTGGAGAATCGTACGACGGAAAATCGCCGGGCAGAAATGCCCTACTACTCCAACGGAAGCAAAAAAAAAATTGAGGAGAGAGAAAAAAGAAAAAGAAAAAAGAAAAGGTTAGAGGAAGACGAAAGAGGAAAATTAATTAAGATTGGACCTTTTGTCAATTTAGTTAGGTATATTCACCGTACTTGGTGCTGTGTCTTGTGGCTACTACCTCTTCTAATTACTTGTTAGTTGTTACACTCTCCTATGGAAACAAAGAGTGAGTGTTCAAATTTGGTTTTTTCAATTGGATCTCTTATCTTTCCATTTTTGAATACTACGTATTTTCTTTCAATTAATATAATCTATTCATCTATTTTATCAATCGATCCACTAAATGTGAGGATGTCTAGGTTAGAAATGGTGTTTTGACGAATGATGGTTCTTAATTTGGATATCAATTTAGTACCAAAATATAGGGGTGAGAGTGGGACGGGTACCCGCACTTTTAATACTAACGGTTCGGGTACCCGACAACCCAAAATCCCTAAAAGTGATATCCATAACCCAAACCGATAAGTTTGGGTACCCGGATTTTCGGATCGGTTATCAGGTACCCAATAAGATATCCAATAATGATAATTAAACTTACTTATGTAGTTATTATAATATAATTTACCACTAATTAACATCAATATCATATGATTTTAACCAAATTATTAATAATATTACTAATCATTGATATTATAAAATAATTATAAAGTAAAGTGAGAGTTTAGATTTTAAAAATATAGATTTAAATAGGGAAAAAAGCAAAAAAAATGTTTATCGGAACGGATCGGGTATCCGTTAATTTTAAAATGATACCCAATAACTATACCCGATAACAAATTATTGGAACGGGTACCCGAACCGTTATGGTTATCGGATCGGATACCCTAATTTTCGGAACGGTTACAAATCGATTTTAGGTTTTTCGGGTAGTTTTGCTCTGCCAAAATATACCTATTGATATCACTTAAAGTTGATTTGTTTCAAAATGGATCAAAACCTGTCTATCTATAATCTATAAATCTAATTAAAGTAATAATCACTGACATCATCACTATCCAAGTGGCAACTTCTCATACAAAGAATTCCTTCTAAAACTTTTGGTGACATCATTTTTTTAAGATAAATAAAGGTTTGAAATTGATAGATTAATGCATATTTCCTAAAGAATTTAATGATTGAATTGGCTAACTACGCATTTTCCCGTTCCTCCTACTCTGTACATTTACAGTGATTGTATGCACGGGACTCACCTAGTTGTTTTTTATTTATACTTCCTCCCTATAAGATTGCACGACCTTAAGTGTGTTCTAATAAATCGTGCAACATTTGATGTTAAATGTAGAAGGAAAAAAAAAAAAAGGTCATGGAGGCTTCAAAACTACAATAGTCATGTAGCTTGATGATATATTATTGCAGTAACTTTTTGATAACTAATCACTCTCATACAATTGTCACTTAATAATATTATGCTCTCCTCTCTCGGTATAAAAAGTGGTTTGTAAGAGAGTTTATACTATGAAAAATATAAGGATCTACTCTTATGTTTTATAGATATTCAATTGTTTCATGAAAAGTTCATATAATACAATATACGAGTTGGTAAATTGGATAAGATAATACTCCATATAAGTTCAATACATTTAGATAATTGAAAAAGGGTTGATAAGCTCCAATAAAATCGATTGACCCTTTATATACTAATTAAAAAAACAATCAGATTTAATACACCTTACATAAGGACAACATAAGCTTAATGAATTCATATACACTTAGGGCCTATTCACATTTATTTAATTTCAATTTAGTTCAGTTCAGCTCCAATCATTTCAGTTCAGTTCAGTTTAGTTTAGTTTAGTTCAGTTTAGCTCCAATTAGTTCAGTTCAACTCTGCTCCTAATTTCCCTTTCTCATAAAATATTCATTTCAGCTCAACTCAGTTCAATTTAGCTCCAATAAGTTCAGTTCAGTTTAGCTCAATTCAGTAAACGTGAACAGAGGGTCTCTTCACGTTTACTTAATTTCAGTTTAGCTCCCATCAGTTCAGTTCAACTCTGCTCCTAATTTCCCTTTCTCATAAAATATTCATTTCAGCTCAATTTAGTTGTTTTGCAAAATTATCCTATAAAATGATATTCTCATTTTTCATTGTTTGGTTGGTAAAGGGATGAAAATAATGGAAATTTTCCCTAAAAATTGTTGAATTGTAAATTAATACCCTATTTGCATCGATTTACACTTATTTCCACAATATTGTCCACGTAAAATTGATAGAAGGTTTGTATTTTTTCGTTTTTGTTTTTGCATAGAACCGCTAACGATGATAGCGGTTTTATACTTATAAAATCGCTAATGTATTTAACGGTTCTTGTATTAGGTTCTTATATTAGAAAATTTCATAAGTTAAAACCTAATATAAGAACCACTAATGACGTAAGCGGTTTTATAATAAGTATAGAACCGCTATCACTGTTAGCGGTTTTTTGCCGAATCTATATAAAAAACACAAAGCCTCTAGCAATCCTACTTGGACCAATTTTCTCAAAGGTAAAACCTTACATATCTTCTCATTGATCTTCTCCCTTCCAGTCATACTTTCCCCTTCCTATATATACGAAGTAATATGCTTTTTTTTTTTTGAAATAATATAAATTTCTTGTTGTATGAAGGAAATAAAGAAAAACTATATTTATGACTGTATTTTTCCTTAAAAATTATATAATTATAAAAAGTTGGTAATCTATAAAGTTATTTTCCGAGCCTTAAATTTTACAGATAACCCTTTACAAAGCGATCCACTATAAGCTCGCCCACTATTGAGTACCGACCCCCACCGACCTACTCAAAAATCAGCTCCCTAGAAGAAAGCTTAAAGACACGGAGTATATAAGTAGGCCATTATTCCGGTTTACCGGCAATCACACTTCGCAAAATGGCGACTGACACCGGAGAAACCCCTTCGTCACCGTCGCAACCGCCGTCGTATACAATCGGGTACGTAAATTCACCACTCTCTCAATTTTTCCCAATTAATTTTCACTTCTACTTTAACGGAAACTCCGCAATTCTCCCTTTTTGAAGGCAACCTCGCCACTTCTACCTCGCCGTCGATCGCCTCCCTTTCAAAATGGTAATCGCTTTCTCTTTCCCAATTTTACATCTCGAAACCCTAATTTCGATGATATCTTAAATTCTGGAATTTGAGGTTGATTTATAGTTGTAATTTGCAGGAGACATTGGTTGATTTGCTTGGAGTAGTAGGAAGAAGATCGGGGCTTCCTATGGTTCTGTGTTGTAGTTCTCGTGATGAGCTTGATGCTGTTTGTTCAACTGTTTCATCTCTTCCTTACATTTCTCTCTCCTCATTGGTACCACTTCAAATCCTTTCTATTTTGTTTCTAATTTAATTTTCTAGAATTTTCTCATTGAATTTGATTATGTTTCTTTTTATTGTTAGGAAGATAATTTTTAATGAATGAATTATGATACAAAATTTAGGATTAGGGTTTGATTGCTGGATTTTTATGCGATGACATGTTAGATTTTGTAGTTTAGCCTATTAAATTCCACTTTAATCACATTGCCTATCTTTAATTCTAAAGCTTATGCACGTTACTCGCCGCTGCCTACGGCCAACTCCATTCCTTACCACTAAGAAGCGAAGCCAGGAGTTGAAGGAGGGACTTTAACCCTCAATCTCAGCCTTGGGAAGGCTGTGCTCTTCCTTTAAGCTATTTCAGCCAGCTATGGTAGTGGCGAAGGAGTTAAGGACTACTAAGCAATTGATGTATCACTTGATACAGATGACTTTTGTATTCCGCTGGACCACATTATTGACCTTTGGTTGAGCTAAGAGCATGAGTAGGTAGGGCTGGGGGGGGGGGGGCGGGAGGGCTAGAAAGGGAGTTTGTTTTCTTTGTGCTAGGTAGTGGCGAAGGAGTTAAGGACTACTAAGCAATTGATGTATCACTTGATACAGATCACTTTTGTATTCTGCTGGACCACATTCTTGACCTTTGGTCGAGCTAAGAGCATGAGTAGGTAGGGCTGGGGGGGGGGGGAACGTGGGAGGGCTAGAAAGGGAGGTTTGTTTTCTTTGTGCTAGATAGTGCTTTCTCTGTTAAAAAATTGTAGTTGCATGTAGATGACACTTTGTTTTCTTCATTTATTCCACTTAATTTTGGTGATGGGAAGAGGTGGGGATGACATGACAATCACAAATGATACTTTGGTAAGGTACCATTTTCTCCCTTTGAAAAATCAAGAGAGTTATATGTGATTTGTGATTCTAGAATGAATGAAGAATGCCATGTCAATTCATGGCATTCCAGATTTCCAGCCAATAACAACTTGCTCGAGCAAAATGAACTTCTTAGTGATGATCACTTGTAGTAAATAGTATAAGAAGAAGCATGTTTTCAGTTTAGATATGCCAAAGTTGCTGCCCTTCATCTTGTGCTTTTGATGTCAATTTATTAACTTAGTAAGCCTTAAGACCACTTTTGCAATTCCTAGATGGCAGGTTCTAAGCTTCTGCGAATCTGACCTTGTAACAAAACATTTGTGGGCTCGTACCTGTTACTTTACTGGCTTCTCTAGTGAATCACTCATCTCTCTCTCACTTGCTTGCTCATTATATTTAGTTTTGAAAGAAAATCAAAGACAAAAAAATGACATACCTTATCAGGAATGTATTTATTGTTGAGAATTTGAGGTCATGGGTTCAAGTATTGTACACATCATGTTTCTAATTTGTGAAACTTACTGAATATAGGCGAGTGCCATGCCGCCAGGTAGCATTTGAACTTTCTTAGAAATGTTTTAAAATGCTTTAGTATAGATTGGACAAGTTCCCTCGTACATTTCTTCTTTCTTATGTATTGTGGATTTTGGGTTGGATTGTGGGCCAATCTTCCTAGGAAAGGGAACTATGTGTTGTGCTGCGGTATATCTTGATTTTATTTATTTATTTATTTAATAATTTTATTATTTCCTTTCAAATGTGGCTGCTTTATATTGTAGGGTTCCCTACGAACATTCATGCTAGCTGACCCCAAATCATTTTGGGACTAAGGCTTTGTTGTTCTCCACCACTTTCACTAAGAGCTGGCGGACTATAAGTTAGGAAGACCAAGTTAGAAGGGTAGAACAAAGCTTATCATTCCAAGGATCATTAGACATTCCTCATTCGTTTTGGAATTACGAAAAAGGTGTAACTTTTAAGAGCCTCATGCAGTTTCACCAAGTTAGTTTTACATTCGCCCTACAATGGTTATCTAATGTTACTCTGCATCTCAGTTTAAAAACTGCGCTACTAGTAGTGAGGATTGAAGAGGCATCTCATTTAGTTTAGACATATGTCACTATATTGCTGGCATTTTCCTAGTCAGTTTCATAGCATTATTTTGGGGGCATGTGGAGAAGATTTCAGATTTTCAATGCAACTACTTATGGATTTTATTTTATAATTATTGGCAGTATAGTGATCTTGCTGAATCAGATCGTGCACAAATACTTGAGAATTTCCGTCATGCAGTCGTCAAGTGGAACCAAAGTGCTGTAGGGGATGAAGATGAGGAAGGGCTCAAGTCTCATATGGTAGTTGTGACTGATGCTTGTCTTCCTATTGTTTCTAGTGAATCTCCTCTTCCTGCTCGTATTCTCATAAATTATGAGTTGCCAGCAAAAAAGGTGATATGTTGCTTTTATGAAATTTGATGCAGTCTGCATTGTTTTGTGCTTGTGCTTTAAGCTTGATACAACCTTACCCAATTGTTCGGAAACTTGATTTTGACTGGGAAAATTGTGTTTTTATTCCAAGTGTGATTATATTTTGAGTATTAATGACATTTATACATTAGTGAATTACATTTTTCAATTTCTTTTTCTTAGTATTTTAACACTGTTTAGCTTATTTCACTTGTTGAATGTTCGTAGCTTAGGTTCTTTATGCCCTAATCCCCTGTACCCAACTCCCTTGGCAGTTAATGAGCATATATATGGATTTCGCTGGCCCCATCATCACATCATCTTTTCTATTATCTGCATCTGTTTGTCTCTGAAATAGAAGTGTATATTGAGTTCTGGCTCTAGTATTCTTGTTAGTCTGTGTATTTATTATGTTTTGATCTTGTGAATTTTTTTTTTTTTTTTTAAATTTCCTTTACAGTAATTGTTGAGTATATATGCCTGCCTTATTTGCATTATTTTGGCGAATAATTATGCTGGCGTATTTCTTGATTGCAGGAAATATATATGAGGCGGATGGCAGCTTGTTTAGCTTCCGGTGCTTTATACTTAATTTTACGTGATTTTCATGTTATATTGTTATTAAACACCATGCTTTATTTATTGTGTAAGTGGCTGCAGATGGGATTGTGATTAACATGGTTGTCGGGGGTGAAGTAGTGACTCTTAAGAGCATTGAAGAAGCCAGTAATCTTATCATTGCTGAGATGCCTATACAGGTTAGTTCATTTCCCCCTCTTTCTATAGAGAAAAACACAAATCAGTACGATGTAAAAACTGGATGACGATTATTTTCCTAATGCTGTTTTAATCATTAGATTTATTGATTCTGTGATGGGTTTTAATTCACTTTTATCGCAATTTTTATCTTGTGGATGCTATAATTGTTCAATTTTTCCTGCTCAGGTATCTGAGATATTGTGACAATAAGTCAGCTCATCATTTCATTGGATCATTCAGGTGCTTTTTACTCTCTTAGATATGCAAAATCTATTCTCTTGTGCGTGCATTGGATGTACGCTGCATTGATTAGTGTTCATAGTTGTCTAGAGTATTAAGTTATTAACCACAGATGAAATATGCCAATGTTTTCACTTTTCACCCATCATGCCCTAGTCAGGTCCGGCTTCTGCTAAAGTATATGAAAAAAGCTACTAGTTCTTAGTACATTCTTCAAAATGGTATTCAGCTTTTGTTCCTAAATTTTATGGAGTATGTTTAAAGGTGTGGTTGGTTGATTCCTTGGGGTCGTTTATTTGTTCATCCGTAGCTACTTACAAGATACAAAGTGCTCCAAATTCATAATCTTCACCTATTTTTACTTAACATTTGGCAGGATAATATCAGGGGAATGCTTTTGCTTGGGTCACAAATCTGGAGAAATTTAGTACTTGTGAATGCTGTGATTATTTGCTAGTTCAGTGATTCAAAGAGTCTTTAATCTCCTAATGTGTGCCTGGTTTTTCTTGCTAGTAAGGATAAAACATTTGTTTTTGGAATTGTCATGTGGCGATTTTTTGGTAGCCGAGACTGTTCAGCTTGGGTAGTGTTTAATGTCATTGAGCTGTCCTATTTGCTATTCTGGGCTATTACATATGAAATTTGGAAGGCTTCAAGGGGAAAAAAATTGGTGGTAGGTTGCTTTCTTTGCTATTATGGGAGTTCAGTGAGGGCTTTGGTGATTAGAGGTCCTTATTTTTCTTTGGCATCTTTATTGAATTGAGAGGTGCATTTAGCGTTACTTTAGGCTCATGGAGTGGTTCCCAGCCCTTGTCCCTTTCTATTGTATCGTGTGATTGGAGTTTTTACCCCTTTTCCTTGAATTTTGGTGGACTTTGGGTCCTTTTTTTTTTTTTTTTTTTTTAAGATTTATCTTCATACCTAATACTACTTGATCTTCCATCCAGGATAATCAGTTGTGTGCTTTAGCAATGTACTTGTTAGGAGTAGATTTAAAATCAATGAACTTCAGGACTTAAAGGTAGGATTAAGTTATTAAATTTAATTAATTAAATAAATAATGTGGAATGTCTCTTATGTGGCAAATCGGCTAAATCAAGTGAACATTGGTGGATTCAATATGTTCCATTTACAACTAACAATTGAAGATTCTTTAATGCTGGATTATACAATGTTTAGCTGTTTGTGCGCAGTCCCCAAAGTTGTTTTTCTTCTTCTTCTTCTTCTTCTTCTTGTTATTGTTTTAGGTAAGTAGAATTCCTAGGACATCCTAATATAGACTACAAATAACTCATTATATAGTGGGAGTTTTGGGTGTAAAGGCAAGGAGTAATATTCAGGGAAAAAAATATTTCTGTATTTCTGGGGATTTTTATTCTGGTTAATTACCTCATGGTAAGGAGAAAAATTTAAACATTCTTGTAGTCTAAAGGTTTATGGTTCTTAACTCACTTTAAGCTTTTTTTTTTTAATTTTATTTTTTTATCTGCACTCAATTATGGCCAAACTATGTTTAAACTTCTGCACATCCTGCTTGGTGTACGAGTTCAGCAATTCTGAGTTTGCTCCGTAACCGTTAATAAGATCTTCTGTAACATAGGCCTCTTTACTGACTGAATAGTGGCTATATCAGTCCTCCATGTTGATGAGCAAGTTGACCCGACTCAATTATGCTTTATTAAAATTATGCTTTATTAAATTAATTTATGGTTGTGTCTGTTTGTGTCAACTTCCACCTAGGAAACTAACTTCTGCCATCTCGAAAACAATTTAACTAGAGAAATTATTAATACCTCTTCACCGACCAAACAACGAAGTTGGGTGAATCAATTTTTCTGGAAAATGGTTTCTGCCCAACCTCCTTTTATGCCTCAATACGGTAACTATCTGACATGAATAAGGGTCTTGATGTTGAAGCTTTTGAACCCATTTAGTTGATTAAACACTTAAACATGTGTCTAATAGACTACACCCTCACACAGGAATATTCAGATGTAAACAATGAACAACACACACAAATAGGCAACAGCAAGATTGATTGATTGAATTAGCTAAGTAGCTCGAGGCTACAACTCTCCAAGTTAGTATCTTTAAAATACAACTCTCAAAATTCAAATAGACTAATTTCATAACCTTCACTACTACTCTCTTCTTAATTTATATACAAGGAGGTTCACAACTAGCTGTTACTACTACTATTGCCCATACTCTACCAATGCTGCTTGCCATGGTTCCACTACTTGCTGCTGTACTGCTACCTTCAAAGCTTAACTGTTTTTGTCCTTGTTTGCCAACTCCTTCCTTTGCTTTTGTGCTGTTATGGTGGTTAACTCTTGACAGCCTTGATCCTCTGTTTTCTTCTTTTCTCTTCTCTTGTAGAACTTGGTAATTGGCGGCTTTGGGCCTGGTCCATTACAATGTCTACGTGATTGACATATATAATTCAATACTCCGTATAATATTAGTGTTTAGTTAGCCTTGTTTAACTCACCTTATTGCATTGCAAGAACTATTGCTTATTTAAATAAGATAAAATAAAATAAGATAAGGTTATATCACATTGGCACTTTGAAACATATCTATCTCACACAAAATACACTCCCTTGGTCCTTGATGATAGTCCTGTATGATGTTTTGTACATATTCCTAAATTTTCAATACAATATAAAATTTCTTTATATACACAATATATAATATACTTCCTCCGTTCTATTAATAGTGCAACAATGGACTTTTTGTACTATTTATCACTCTTGTTTGACCATATAATATGAGTTATACGTTAAGCAAAATATAGTCAAGTGAGATCTTGTTGGATTCGTCTCATAAAACACTTTCACAATATCAAGTTTTTATAATTTTTACTTACACAATTATTCATATTTAGCATATAAAATGTGTTTTGGGATGCGTAATTTCCTTTTTGTTGCAATATTAACAGAACGGAGGAAGTATATATATATAGAAATTTATAAAAATTACTCGGTATATACTTTTTACACAATTTTGTTGAAATAAACAATATAAAAGAAATTTATGCTCTCCTTTTCTCTTTTAACGAGGGTGAAATAGTTATTGTACTAGCAAATGAAACGCTAGTACTCTATTAGAATTTCAATTCGTCACTGTTATTTATAACAAGTCAATTGTTAAAATTTTTGAGGGTGCTAATAAAATTTTCACTCATTTTTGTTTTGATTTATACTCGAATCATAGAGATAACTTTGAAACAATTTTGGGATATGACATTGAATAATTATAACTTATCTATTTAAATTAAATTGTAGAATTAAGGTGAACTATATAGGCTCAAACATCTTTATGGCATATTTGTATGTTCCAAACTTCCAATACATATTTTGGCAAAACCTGATGTAACTTCAGTAATTTTTTGATGAATGAATCAGTCAATAAATTGGCATGGTATTAAACTACTTCGGACATAATTTTGACCTGTAAAAGTGTGAAGGGTAATGGCTCATGTTAACAAAATGATTTGAGTATTACATTTGTTGTGGAATAGGTTTGGTCACTCAACATGCTAACAAGAAAGGGATTACTGTATTGGTAATGCTGATGCTATTTATGATGTGGCAGTAGTGCTTTGTCATGAACATGTAAATCGGTTATCTTAAAGTATTTTAAGGTTTGAAAACATGAGAAGGCTGAAAGCACTCCTTTGTGTTTAAATTTGGAGCATGTCTTCTGCTGAGTGGTACCATTTGCCTAATTGTAGTGGAAGGAAATTGAGTATAAAATCAATATATGACCTAGCCCATAGTCTTTCTAGGTTCTTATTATAGGCTGCTGGCATATAGTTCTACAGCTATATAGTAGCTCGAATTAACTGCTTAAGCGGACGTGCATGCTATTCATGTTTTGTAGTGAGTTGGCGTAAACATCCCTTTTATTTTTAGCTAAGTGGAGCACACAAACAATTTTACCTTTAATTATGTTACTAAGTCTATCCCTCTGCTATCGTGGATCACATATTTGCAACCCTTGACTTTTACCTAGCCAAAGAAAAATAAAAAGAAAAGAAGATAGGAGCATTTGACTCTGTTTAGCTTTGATACCTTCGACAAATTGGCTTTGTTGACATTTGTGCCTGTATTTTATACTCAATACTCAATGCTTGTACTGCCATTGTGATTTATTCCATCCTAGGAATTTAAAAAGCTGAATCTACGTGTTTCATTGTACGTTTATATAATTGGGCTGACTTAGAATTTAACATAAATATTAAATGAAGGTGCTCCTGAATATTAAGTATTTGACGAAGTTTAAAATATACTACCAGGCAAACTAATAATTTATGGGTATAATACTGTAGTGAATCTTTTATTATTTTTATTTATCAATCTGTAAATTATGTTTTTGGGTGACAGCGGGCTGCTAGGATCAACCTAGACACATCCACAACAGGAATCATTATTTTTATTGTTATTATTTTTTGATTCCGACAACAAATATAATATTGTGTTTATTCGAGAAGGGGGCGAGTTTCAATTGGTGTACTTTGTAGTTTGTACTTATCTAATTTGAAGGAGATGATATTTGTCCATGCAAGCAACGTTCTCTAGTAGAACGAATCTTGCTGTCTTTCTCTTTCTTGACAGGGTATTTGATGTAACTAAATCGTCAGCAAGAAGACATTTTAGAATTACTTTTTTTTTTCCTGCCGTCAAGTGTGTTTTCTGTATTATCTACTCCGTCCCATGCTTTATCAACTGATTTTTTTTTTTTTTACTTTTCTGTATCATCAAAACTGAAGTGTATTCATTGTGTGAACTTGCAATTTACTTATTCCCTTGTTAATTTTGGTTTTAATTTTTGTCTAATAGTTAGTTTGTAAATTGGAAGGTGCATAATAGTTAAGTTGCAAATTCAAGCTAATTAGTGGCAATTCAAATTATTTCCTCTTAGAGATTTGTGTTGGTATGTAGGATGGTGTATTATTGGGAGTGCTTATATGTTTGGTTTAGAATTTGAGATAGTGTATGCTATTGTGGACTTTGTGGCAATGGACCTTGCATGCTAAAATATTTGTCTTTTCTTTATGAAAAGATTTTGAAAGTTGCATTTGTAATTAATTTGATTGTAGTATAATATTTACAATTTTTGTTGATGTAATATAATAGAAAAATTAAAGTCAAAGCTAGACATTGAATGTTAAGAAACAAATGGGGTATGAATTAAGAACTGTTTATACACGCATTAGTTTTTATTGTGCAGTTGTGCTGGTAATGTGTGCATTTTTGTTTATCTAATTGGTAAGAATAAGATAGGACTAGTTTTCTTGTATACATTTTGCCTGTGTATATGTTAATTTGATGATTTGACAGATCGCCTTGTGTGCCCCTTAAAGTGAGATGAGTTTTATTTTAAGCTTAATGAACTAATCATAATTTCTTTTGCAGGTAGATTTTGTGATCCCTAGCAGAAAGCAAGAAGCAGATCAAATTTGCATGTAAAGGGGCAAAATAGCTGTTATTTCAGCTGTAATTGTGCATATACTTGAATGTCTGATTTGACTGAGCTCTTTAATGATGCTATTAAAACTGTTCAGCCAAACAGGTCAGCAGCTAATTTTATAAGTTTTTGAGTAAACATGCGGGATATATCTCTCTAATCCAACGTGTAGCACACCTCATTGGAGGAGAGAGAGAGAGAGACACACAGAAGAAAATATTAAGGAGATAGAAAGAGGGGGTGGGGGGGAGTTTTAAGATAAAGTATTTAGTATAGTTGCATTATCTATAAACACGTTAAGAAGAGTAGAATATGCAATATGGCGGCTGGTCACTCATGTCTAGTTTCCTGTAATCTAGCAGGATTCAGGAACCTTCAGAAAAGAACTGTTCCAGATAATTGTTGAGAATCCACAATTAAATAAGTATCAGATCGATGTCACGGGTGACGACTGACGATAGTTTCTAAATACTACTATTTAAGTTTTGTTGGCTATCCACAATTGATGTTTTGTTATCTTTAGCATGCCCGTTGACAGTATCCTGGACTCCTACTATATTTGCTATTTCTGGATGCCATTTGATAAGATTTCTATGTCTTTTTTGTGCTCATTAAAGAAATAATATATATATATATATATATATATATATATATATATATATGGGATCATGTGAGAACCCATGACTTAGGTGAGAACTATTTTAAAATGAGAACTCATCTAACACCATTCATTTTTATTAGATGAATGGTTCAGATTTATTGTTTCATTAGTGGGAATTCACGTGGGCCACCTTCATTAATTGTAATGATTGTTTGTATTTTTTTTTTAATTTTTGTGCATTGGGACACAAAATTTGCCAAAAGTTGTCATTATTACATGCTTTTTATTATTTATTGCATTGAAACACGTTACGTTAAAATGTAGTTGAAGTGTACGTCGTTAATGATGTTTCGTAAAATATATCAAGTGTTTCAATTTATAATATTAATGTTTCATATATATTATTGTTTGTTTCATACAGTTGGGCTTTATATGAACTAGGTGTACTGTGATTTCTTATACCTTATCTGATGTTTCAAAAAATATACCTTATGTTTCATTTTATAGTGCTTATGTTCCATAATATATATGTGTTGTTTCATATACTAATGATATTATTTTATACATAAAAATCATTGATATTTCATATAATATTTTATTCGAATATTATTTATATTGTTCCAGAAATTTGAACTATTGTCTCATAAATATTATACATTGTTCCATACCATATGTGTGAAATGTATCAATGACTGAAATGCATGTTCCCAAGAAAATTAAAAAGCATGTACCAATGACTGAAATGCGTGTTCCCAAGAAAATGCATGGGAAATTGATAATTAATCTCAGCCATCCATTAAGTGTAGTTGGTGTACGTTAATGATGTTTTGTAAAATATATCAAGTGTTTTAATTTATAATATTAATGTTTCATATATATTATTGCTTGTTTCATATAGTTGGGCTCTATATGAACTAAGTTTACTGTGATTTCTTATACCTTATTGATGTTTCAAAAAACAAACCTTATGTTTCATTTTATACTACTTATGTTCCATAAAATATATGTATTGTTTCATATACTAATGATATTGTTTTATACGTAAAAATCATTGATGTTTCATATAATATTTCATTCGAATATTATTTATATTGTTCCAGAAATATGAACTATTGTCCCATAAATATTATACATTATTCCATACCATATGTGTGAAATGTACCAATGACTGAAATGCGTGTTCCCAAGAAAATTAAAAAGCATGTACCAATGACTGAAATGCGTGTTCCCAAGAAAATGCATGGGAAAGTGATAATTAATCTCAGCCATCCATTATGTGTAGTTGGTGTACGTTAATGATGTTTCGTAAAATATATCAAGTGTTTTAATTTATAATATTAATGTTTCATATATATTATTGCTTGTTTCATATAGTTGGGCTCTATATGAACTAGGTTTACTGTGATTTCTTATACTTTATTGATGTTTCAAAAAACATACCTTATGTTTCATTTTATACTACTAATGTTCCATAAAATATATGTATTATTTCATATACTAATGATATTGTTTTATGCAACAATAGTTCATATTTCTGGAACAATATAAATAATATCCGAATGAAATATTATATTATGTATAAAACAATATCATTAGTATATGAAACAATACATATATTTTATGGAACATAAGTAGTATAAAATGAAACATAAGGTATGTTTTTTTAAACATCAATAAGGTATAAGAAATCACAGTAAACCTAGTTCATATATAACCCAACTATATGAAACAAGCAATAATATATATGAAACATTAATATTATAAATTGAAACACTAAATATATTTTATGAAACATCATTAACGTACACTTCAACTACATTTTAACTTAACGTTGACAACACAATTCAATGTAACATTACATTTTTTAATTGAAACAGCGACAAGTCTTTTTGAAACAATAATAACATCTCAAAATTATTCTTTTAATACAATAAAATAAGTAATTAATACTGTTCCAATTGGATGATATGCTCGTTATTGTCAATACAATTTATATTGTTCCAGAAATATGAATTATTGTCCCATAAATATTATATATTGTTCCATATATAAGAACTAGTGTTCCAATTACATGATATGCCCCTATTTTCGAATTTTAAATATGTCTTAATACTGTTCCAATTGGATGATATGCCCGTTATTGTCAATACAATTTATATTGTTCCAGAAATATGAATTATTGTCCCATAAATATTATATATTGTTCCATATATAAGAACTAGTGTTCCAATTACATGATATGCCCCTATTTTCGAATTTTAAATATGTCGTTCCAGAATTTTCAACTATTGTACCACATACAGATTTGCTCTTTTTTTGCACTACTTCGAAAATTCTACCAAGAAAATATCAAACGAACTCCAAAAATTCAGAAATTTTGTATGCTTATTCTACACAAAAAAAATAAGCAGATTCAAAAAAAAAAAAAATCGCTTCAAAAGGGTTTTTTATGAGAGAGAAATCTTCATTTGAAATCCGTCTTTCCAGATTTGCTCCTTTTTTGCACTACTTCGAAAATTCTACCCAAAAAAATATCAAACGAACTCCAAAAATTATGAAATTTTGTATGCTTATTCTACACAAAAAAATAATCAAATTAAAAAAAAAATCGCTTCAAAAGCTTTCTTTATGAGAGAGAAATTTTCATTTGAAATCTGCCTTCATTTCTCTCTCTTCAATGGCTAAATTAAAATGAAACCAGATTTTCCATTTTCTCTCTCTTCAATGGCTTAATCTCTTGGTTTTATAGTACATAAATCGGTGTTTCAATGCAGAAAATAAGGAAAAAAAAGTAAAAAACATGTACTAATGACTGAAATGCGTGTTCCCAAGAAAATGCATGGGAAAGTGATAATTAATCTCAGCCATCCATAATCTCAAAATTGATGATGTAAGATTGGTTCTTATTTTAAGAGGGTTCTCACCTAAGGGGTGGGTTCTCACATGATCCCTCCCCTATATATATATATATATTTTATCAAAGTGAAAAAAATAAAAATAAAAATTCTGCAGATGCACTGAAGTATTTAATTAAACACAAATTTTAAAAAAAAAAACGGTGTTCATTAATTTAATGAATGGCGGAATTTTTGGACAAGCATCAACTGCCAATTTAGTGGGTTTGGCACGTGCTTCCTAATGATTGCCAAAATAAAGAAAGAAATAGAACTTTTCTCTCTTCATTCATTCACTATAGCTTTCTCTCTCTTCGTTTTTCTCTCTCTAAAAAGCAAGTAACTGGCGATTTCGAGCGTTTTCTATGTCCTCCATTGTTGATTTTCGAGCTTTTTCTTTCTTCTTTTTCACTGGTGAAGTTGTTATTTGCTTAATTCAGGTTCGTTTACTTATTTTTTTGAGATTTTTGTTAGTTTAAATTGTTTTGATTCTTCGATTTTTAGGTTTTTTTATTTTGATTTTGTTTTCGATTTTCGTAGTGTTGATTCTGCAATGGTGAAGAAGAAGAAGATTACAAAGAAGGCTGTAGATGCTGAAGAAGGTGTGTTTACTTAAATTTTTCATCATTTTTTCAAATTTTTCAATTGAAATTTCGCTTATATATGTCGAATTACTAGTGCATGTTATTTCTTATAGTTTTCAGTTGATTTTTTATGCATATTATGATAATTGAATTTGAATTATGAAGTTATTATGTTTAATTTTGCTTTATTTTATTGTTCATTGTATATAATTGATTCAAAATTTTGCTTATTATTGTTTAAATTTTGTATGTTAGGTTTTAGTTAGAGAATGCTAATTAAACTGATTATTTGTTTAGGTTTTATGTTTTAGTTAGATTATGTGTATAATAGGTATATTCGCATTGTGTTTGTGCATCTGTGTTTGATTAACATGCATATATGCATTGCTCATTGTGTTTGAGTAATAGACATGTGTGTCATTTATATGTTTTGACAATGTTCATTTTATGGTGTTAAAAGGGTGACTTTATGCTGTTAAAAGAGTCACTATATGTTGTTAAATGATTAACTTTTTCAGTTAAAAGGGTCACTTTTTGCAAAAAAGGGTCACTTTATGCATACAAAAGGGTCACTTTATGCTGTTAAAAAGGCCACTTTATGCTGTTAAAAGGGTCACTTTGTGATGTTAAAAGGGTCGCTTTATGCTGTGAAAAGAGTCAGTGTATGTTGTTAAATGAATAACTTTTTCATATAAAAGGGTCACTTTATGCTGTTAAAAGGGTCACTTTATACTATTAAAAGGGCCACTTTGTGATGTTAAAAGGGTCACTTTGTGATGTTAAAACGGTTACTTTGTGCTGTTAAAAGGGTCACTTTATGCATTTAAAAGTGTCATTTGTGCACATTATTCTATATTTTTCCATGAGTAATTTCTGAATTTGTATTTATATTACTTTAATAATTAAATACAGGTGGTTCAATAGGTGGTTATCGTTATAAAAAGCCTACAAAAGGAAAAGGAAAGCCTAAAGAGCCTGCTAAGCCTAAACCAATACCAAAAAAGACACAGATAGCTCCTGAGAAGAGCAAAGCTGTATCTAAAAAGGCTGGGAAAATTCCTGAGAGTGACAAACCAGAGTCTGAGAAGGCCAAAATAGTTCCTAAGAAGGCCAAAATTGTACCTAAGAAAGCTAATACAGTGGAAGATTCTGATTATGAAATGCTTTCTGAATCTGATTCTGAATCTTTTATGTAAGTATACATATTTTTTTTATTACATTTTTAATTATATTTTGTTTTTATTTTATATTGTTTTAGTTACATTTTTTTTTTTCTATTTAGGGAGCAAAGAAGAATCATTGCAAGATGTAGACCCTATTCATTGGAAATATTGCTGTAGAACTTTAGTCCTGTGCAAAAACAGGCTGTTGAAGAAATTGGTTTTGGAGGTTTATTACATCTTAAATTGAAAACTCTTAATTGTCAAATGCTACCTTGGCTTGTTGAAAACTTCAATGCTGGTAGCTGCATGTTTACCATCGTTACTGGTAAAGAATTTGTTGTTACTAGAAATGATATATGCGATGTGTTTTGCTTGCCTTTGAGTGATATTTGTGTTCCTGAACTTAATAAAAATTCTGAAGATGAAAGTGTAGATAAATGTATCATTCAGGCATGGAAATCTGATTATGGTCTTTCTGGTAAGCAACCTCTTCATTTGTCAAAATTGGAGTCTAGGATGGTTGATTTGGTTGATGGAGGGGAAGAATTTAAGAGGTGTTTTGTTCTTCAAGCTATGTCTAGCTTTTTAGCTCCTACTACTAATAGGACTGTTTCATTGAAGTTGCTGAAAGCTGTTGAAAAAGTTGATGAAATTAAAACTTTTGATTGGTGTTCATATGTTTTAAAAAAGTTAAAGAAGGTTGTTCAGAAGTATACGGATGATGAAAATGCTCAAAATGTTAGTGGTTGTTTGCTGGCTTTGCAAATTATGTATTTTCATCGTCTAAATTTTCAAGGTGAAAAGGAAAGTAGTACTCTTCCTTTAATTCAACATTGGACGGATGTAAAGATTAAGAAGCGAATTAAGTTAGAGATCAAAGCTCGTGGTTATGGGCAGGGACCATTGGATACTATTACATATCCTGTGTCACAGCTTTATTTTAGGGGAACTGTTTTTAAGCCAGCTCCTACTTTGGGTTATGATAAGGGTCCTTCTACAAGTGGTACCACTGGTCGCGTTGTTGCATTTGAGCTTCCAGAAGGTATTATGACCGATGAAGAAATTAAAAAAATTTCAACTGATGTAAGTGTTCTGTTTTCTTATATGTTTAGTTATTATTGCTTTTTGTAAACAAAAGTTACCCTTTTTTGTGTACAAAAGTTACCGTTTTGTGTACAATAGTTACCCTTTTGTATACAAAAGTTACCCTTTTTGTGTACCAAAGTTACCCTTTATTTGCACCGAAGTTACCCTTTAGTTGCATTAAAGTTATCTTCAATATTAAGTTAAAAGAGTTACTTTATTCATACAAAAGGGTAACTTTTTTCATTTAAAAGGGTCAGTTTATGCATTTAAAAGGGTCACTTTTAGCATATATTTAGATCTCCTACTTATTTTATTATTTTTATTTGTAACATTTTTTTTTCATTGTTCATATGTTTGTAGGTTGTTCATGAAACGTTTCTTTTGTTTAAAAGAAATATGGATGTTTTATTATTTGTTCAGTCAACTGGTTTTCAAACCTTGAATGATCTGATTACTTCTCGCAGAAGTGTTTCATTATCTTCTGATGATTTTGTTTCAGTTTCTCAAACTGAACTGCTACTCTCTGATCCTCATTATTTGAAGATTTTAGATGGTTTAATTGATGAGTGTAATAAAATGAAGTATGTACATGATATGTTTCGCGGTTTTTATGAACCTACAGAAGGTAACAAAGATTTTGTTCCTGAAAAAGAACCTGCACAAGGTTTCGATGAAAATATTCCTAAGGATGATGACAATGGTCATGGAAAAATAGTTAATGAAGGCCTTAATGGTTCTGGACCTTCTGCTATCATTCCTGGTCCTACTCAAAATATTCCTGTCGGGCATATTGATCAAAATGAACCTCCTCGACTCAGAGCAAATAAATCTCTATGCTCTCTGGGACTGTGGACATGTAGGTGTGCATGTGCCTTTTGTAACTCTTTTTGTAAAGAGCAATGCTCGGATTTTCAAGAATTTGTCTCAGTTACATTTGGAAATTCTCGATTATTGTTTGCTGAAGGATGTTTCAATGGATAAGAAGTTAAGTATCCTTTTTTATTATAATTATTTTTTTATCTGTTTTTTTTTCTTATATATATTTTTTTTTAATGTTGATCTTATTTTTTATTGTTTCAGTGAGAGCCTTGTTACTTTTGGAATGAACTTTTTAATTCCAAGAGAAGACATGGTGTCCCTTGTTGCTCCACTCAGGATTTGATGGTGCGTTATTGATTGCTTCTGTCTGTATTTGAATGAGAAAGCATGTTTTCAGGCTACTGGTCCTCGGAAATTCTTCTTCAGTGTTAGGCAAAGTGTAAGTTATCTCATTCCTTTTTTTATATCTTTTAACACATTTACTTTATATATATATATTATTGAGATCTTATACTTTAATAGTTTTCATTCTTGCATGTTTGTGACAATATTGGCAAAGGTAACATATCTAGTGTTGTTAAGGATTTGCACGACATATGGGAAGGTTGGGTTAACTATGAGAATCCAGAATGTAATATAATGGATGTTGATCTGGTATTTTTATTCTAAACTTAATGTAATAAATTTAAAAGAGTTCTCTTTATGATATGCTCTGTTTAAATCTCTTTAATTTTGCTGTTTCAGATCTATTTTCCTGTTCTCATTGAGAATCACTACATTTTGTATGTTATTGATCATACAAAAGAGTTGGTATATTATCTTGACAACATTATCTGGACTGATTCTGCTCTTGTTTATTCAAAAGAATTGTGTTCAAAGATGGTATGTTTATGTTTGTTTTTTTTTGTTATGTTACTGTTGATTCATTGTTTCCATTTTAACTTTTTTGATTTTAATGTATTCTAAACTTTTATATTTTATGTCAGTGTGTTCAAATGGGTGCTTTTCTTGGCAAAAGAAATCATCCAAAGAGTTCTCAGCTACCTTCTTATGGTTTTGAAGTTGTTGAGTTGGAATGGAGAAAAGAAAAAGTTGACAATTTGGACTGTGGGGTCTTTGTCATGTATCACATGCTCCATTTTGTCGGTGAATCGTTCAAATTCAATGATCTCAAAACAGTAATTATCTATATAGTTTCTGTAGTTTTTTCCTTTCTATTGCTTTTATTAATTACATATTGATAATTTTTATTTTTTTTGCTGTTTTGAGATTAATGGAAGGAAATTTTTACGAGAAGAGATCTGTACCACACTGGTATTGTGTGATTTGAATGAATCTAGGAACGATGTGTTGTTAGAATTACACAAGTTCAATGAGAAGAAGAAAGATCCTGCTTATGTCAATGGAATTGAAGAAAGATTAAAGGCTGCAATTGCTGCAAAGAAGAAGAGAGAAACAGAAGAAAGAAAAATGGCAGCAGAAACAGAAGCAAAGGCAGAGGGAGAAGAGGAAAAGAACAAAGGAAAAAGGGCAAAAAAGTTTACTCCTTCTAAATAGTGAAATAATTGATAGTTGTTAGCTGATTAGTTCAGGGGGTTTTTTTAACAATGAAAAAACTTAGTGTATGTGCATAAATTAAGTTTAATGATGTAATTAAACTTAGTTTAAAGTCTTTAGTTGTTTTTGGAATACTGATGTATGTGAATACATAAAGTAATTAAAAGGTTTATTTTTATGTTTTTTATGGGGTAACTTTTATGCAGAAAAGGTTAACTTTTATTTATAGAAAGGGTAACTTTTATTTAAGAAAAAGGTAGATTTTATTGTTGGAAATGGTAATTTTAGCAATGAAAAGGGTCACTTTTATGTAGAAAAAGGGTCACTTCTATTCATGAAAAGGGACACTTTTTTCTGTAAAATAAAAGGGTCAGGGGTTTTATGCATGAAAAGGATAACTTTTAGTGATAAAAAGGGTAACTTTTATTAACAGAAAGGGTAACTATTAGAAAAGAAAAGGTTGATTTAGTGGATAGAAAGGATAACTTTTATGCATGAAAAGGGTCACTTTCATGCATAAAAAGGTTTACTTTGTAGCATAAAAAGGGTTACTTTTGTGGGTAGAAATAATAAGTTTATACATGATAAGGTATACTTTTGTGGGTAGATAGTGTAACTTTTATGCATGGAAAGGGTAACTTTAATTGATAAAAGGGTTAACTTTTATTAACAGAAAGGGTAACTATTTCCAAAGAAAAGGTTGATTTAGTGGATAGAAAGGATAACTTTTATGCATGAAAAGGGTTACTTTTATGCATGAAAAGGGTTACTTTTATACGTTAAAAGGGTAACATAAGTTGATGTCTTCCAATAATTAAACATGTGCTAATAAAAGTGTCAATCACATTTTCATTAAACTAGTCATAGAGTAAAAAAACAAAAGAAAAATAGTTTAACAATACAAGGTATATTAATTTCGGAAAAAAAATGTTCTAAAAAAGATCTTAAAAGAGTCGTAAGTTAGGTGTCTTTGATCCAAATTCTGAATTCGGAGGTGGCAGTGTTGGTTTTCTTTTTCTCTTGCTTTTTTCAAGTCCTCCTTTTGCTCTCTTGCTTCTTCCTTTTGTTACAGCCCTTTTAGGATCAAGAATTATTAGTACACATGTGTTTGTACTCGATGCTGAAGAAGCGTCAGTATTGCTTTGAGTGTTGTCTGCCACATCAGGAATGTTAGAAGCAGCTTCTGCACTTTCTTTCTGAGCAGCACTAGCAAGTAAGTCTTCCACCATTTTAAGACTGTTTCTGAAGCTTTCTTCCATAAATGCTCTTGTCTCTTCATTTTCTTGACTTTTTAAGATTAGATTGTAGTATTTCCTCATCATTGTTTGCCTCCATGGAATATATTGCTGTTTAGGATCCTGATTCTTCAACTTATCCCATGCCTCTGTTTTTGCAAACTTAGTCCATCTTTTTGAAACATACTTGTCTGGTATTCTTGTTACTGAATGCAAATGTAGAATTCTGATGCAATGATAACATAACCATCCAGATGCTTCAAAGTTTTTGCAAGTACACCATACAGTTTGGCTCTCTTGTATATTGTTTACTTGATGTGCAGACCATGGCTTGTCTTCTAGTGTTACTTCATAAAGTAGGCATTCTTCATTACTGCCTAACATCTGAACAGTTGTTGCCATAGAGTATCCAAACTCCTCTTCAAAATTTCTAAAGAGTGATAAAGTGAAAACCTGTACATCAAAATCATGTAGCTTCATTTAAATTGCCATATATTAGGTGTAATTTATGTACTTGTCAGTTAACTTTTTACCTGTGCGGCATGCTTTAGCATTCCAGATAGAGGCAATGAAGTGAATGCTATTAACTTGCTACAGGTAAACTCATCATATTTCTCTGTGCTTCTCAAACGATTAGTTGTCTTCTTAAATATGGTATAAAATTCTATCAAAGTAGTTGCTTTAC